TCTGGCTTTGGATCACCCCATGCCTTGCTTCCAAGCACCGTGTTGTCGCAGGGCTGAAAGATCTGCACTACTTTCGGCGAGCTCGCTTGCGGATAGAAGACGCTCAACCATGATGAAGGCCCCTTGTGGGCTTCGTTGATGTGAATTGTTGTAATTCACCAGGCTCATGGAAGCGGAAATCATGAAAGCCTGCCCTTTTCCTTACAGCATGGCCAAACAGGACACGATGATTGAAGGGGGCGCTTAAGCCAGGCAAAGTAGGCAACCGTCAGGTTCCATGAGCCCTCCCTCCCACGAACTTGGGCCCTTCAAAGAGGACACTGAATACCAGGTACCTTCCCACAGGTGCTACGCAAATGTGAGGAAGGGCAACCTTCAGTCAGGTTGCATCAGGTATGCGAAAAATAGGGTGCCCCAAATTTGTGTCTTCATTGTGGTTTCCTTTCAACGCCACTCCAAAAGGGTAGCCTCCCAAAGGCGGAGCCACACCCAGTGGGTGCCGTTTTTTCGCCAAGGAGGTGCTGACGGGCTCAGAGTACGCCTCGGTGGTTCGGGTGGTCTCGGAGACTTTGCCCTACGAGTCCTTCCTGGAGCTGGTCAGTCAGCATCAGAGCGCCTCGCCCCGTTTAGCGCTGGCCGGTTCCCATCCGTTCGGTTCCTTAGACTACCTTGGTGGCTCCCAGCCATCCCCTTGGCCTTTTAGCCTGTTAGTGTTTAGTGGTAGTTTCCATTTAACCCAATAAAAGTTAAGTGGGGATCTGAGGACAGCCCAGCTACGTAATGGGTTTTGGGTTTGTAGCTGGTGGAGTGGTTGTGGCGGAAACCATCTTAGACTCACTGGCCCAAAGCACATCGACCTTTTGACCTTTTGTTGTCATCAGTTTTGTTTTTTTCAGATTTGGGCAACGAAAGTTTAATCACCTTTATCCGCAAGCGAGTAGGGTTGATACATTCAGCTTAAAGAGGTCGCCCAGTCTCAACAACATCCTAAACAGCCTTAGAAAGCAATAACATTTCCTCACACATTCATCCTAAAACGGCACCAAAACTCAACATCCCTCCCAGCAGAATAAAAAAAAGGAACCATGTTCATAAATTCCGCCAAAAATTGGCGCGTCGTTTCCACGGGGCCACCCCTCCCAAAACTTCGCACCCTCCGCAGGCGCCTTGTCCCCACCGGGGCGTGGCTACGACTGCGGGCGCACCTGGCAAACCTTGGCCCTGGGCACCGTACCGCGCCTTGGGCCGATGTGTTGACCTACAGAACGGCACTTGGGGGACTTTCAGCAACCTTAAGCTAACTTAGTGGTAGTAACTTACAGCTACTTGCAGTTGGCCAAGTTAGTGGGTAGCTTGAGCTAACTTTACAGCTGGGCTAACTCCACTCAGGGGACTTACAAGATTTGTGGGTTACTTGCCACATACTAGCTTGGCCGAACAACCCCAAAGAAAACTCAATGGGGCGGCGGGCGGCGCGTCTTTTTGAGGACTCGCACCCCTGGAAAGCGTGGGACTCCAAAGCCACAAAGACGCCCTCATTTCCAGAGGAAACTTCTCCACATGGACCAGGACCTTTCTGGGGTCCAGGTGAACTTGGAGAGTATACCAAACGGTACCAGGGGATTGACTTTTTTTTGGGGGGGCCTGGATTTAACATGGCCCATTGATGCTTACCCCAAGACCAAACGATGAGTCGGATGGGTATGTATTTTTCCAATGGCTCTGCGTGCGCGAGCTTCAAGTTTCCAAATTAGAGCCAAAAGGGGGGGAAAGTTGTCGTTTGCCCGACCTTCTACTGGCAAATGGGTGTTGTTCAAAGAGGAAGTGTAGGCAACGCAGCGCGGCAGTAGGCAAACGTTCTGTGAGACCAAAGCCACTCCTTGAACATGACAAAGTAGTTGCAAGAGCAAGAACCCCCCCTGTGTCATAGAAAGGGTGTAGCTGATGCTTGCTTGTCTCAAGCTGGAACCTTACCTTGTTCCTGATATGTTTGTCGAGGTAGTGCGTGCAGAGCGGCATCCCACAAGGATTGTGAAGAGCCGCCAAAACAGCGCTGGTTTCACAATAAAAAGGTGTCCCCCCAAAGAAGGACTTCCCTGAGTTGCACTTCGATTGGCAGGTGCAGTTTGGAATCAAGCAAGAAGTTTGTTTTTTTGGCCGATCAGCCAACTTTGTTTTTGTAGTGGGATTTGTTTTTCTCGCGCAATCAATAAACTGTGTTTTTGTGGCAGGCAGATAGCTTGGGCTTCGCGGAAGTGGGTCGGGTGCCAAAGGATTCTAAAGGAGGTGCTAGGAACCGCCTGAGGCTGGTAGTGTGTGAGCCCACCTTCGACCAGCGCCTACATGCAGGCCCTGAAGTGGGCTGAAGTCGGCGGGTTTGAGTTTTTGTAGTCTTCTTGGCAGGGTTTGGGACCTTTGTTTTTGGGGGTCAAGGTCAGAAACTGGTTGGTGTTTTTTCTTTAAACTACAACTTTGGGGGTGACTTTGAGGGTGATGGACTTGCTGCACGAATATATGTATACACATAAGTGTAGCCCTTACATACATATACTATATACATACATATACAGATACAGATGCATAAATATGTATTTATATGCAGGGTCACCCTTTGGGACAGCTGTCATAATTGACAGGGGTGATTGCAGGTCAGAATGCCTGCTTCTAGGGGGTGAAAGGTTGAGTGATCAGCTATAACTTGAAAGCCCAAGCTGTAATAAACAGCCACAATACGCGACTTGCTTCATTGTCTAGCTAGACAGGGACTGAATTTCAGTTTCCAAAAGCCACACACATGCTGAGCCAAGCAAGGCGGACTCACTGGCTGGCCGTGGAACGGCAGGCCGTACATGCTTGGGCGAACGACAGCGGCCCTCAATCTCATAAGGAAGGTAAGTAACGACAAAAGTAATGACAACTGAAATCCGCTGTTCCTCTCGGATTCCCTGTTTGCAACTAACCCATTCCCAGCTGTAGTCGGTCGCCGGTTTTGCCTCGGGTTCTTGCAGGGGGAGATGGCTTCCAAAACGGGAGGCAAACTCGGACGCTTCTGCCCAGGCAGGTAAGGGCTTGTTGGTAGCGATGCGTTTCTCGGCAAACTTCATACGTCAAGCCCCACCCATTGCTCCCCCTGAGGCAGCTGAATTGGGTTCCGTTTCGAGAGGTTTAGGTTGGGATCCTGCTCTAATGATACAGGGGTCCAAAGATGTCCCATTACCTTCTTGGCTCTGCTGGATAAATATGCCAGACTTCACTGGCCGCGTTGCCCCTTTGCCCTCTCGGGCATCAGTCGCGCTCCACAGGCAGGTAAACTGCCCAAGTGTTCAACTTGCTGGTTCTCAGCAGGGAATGAGAAATGGAATGACCCCCAACCATTTAAGGGTTCCCAACCCTCGGAAGGTCATTCCATATCGCACCTCGCCGCGGATCGGTCGCAGTGATTCGCATCGCAGATGGTCCTCGCTTCATCCCGGGCTGCGAGGAGCTGTCGCCGGAGGCTCTGGCGGAGCTTCTGGCCCAGCCCCTCGGTGCCAAGCCGGGCTCCTTCCCGTGCAGCTTGTGGAGCCTGCACTGCTTAAGATCCATTATTTGGAGGAGCCCAACCCGTGACAAGCTTCAGGGCCCGTGGCCTTTGTCCTCTGGAGCGACCCAAGGTTGAGTGACCCTGCTGAGCATGTCGAGAAGCTCAAGACCCGCGGCCGCACATTTTTTTCACATGGAAGTTCATTGGCGTGGTGATTGAGGGTCACAGTTGCCCGAGCCATTTTGCTTCCCTTTGCGAGAGTGGGGATGGTCCCCTCTAACACTTTCCAAGACTGGAGCGCTCTTTGTTGTGCCCATGAAAACACACCGGGTAAGTTGGCCATATCCAGCCTATGCGTTGGGCAGGCTGGATTTAGCCACGTACCCGCCGCAGCTTCAGCCTGGTTTTTCTTCTTGCAAGTGTTCAATGGTCATCTTCCCTATTGTTCCCCGCCTACCAGCAACCATGCCCTTTTCACACGTGTAGCAGTTCAAGGCAAGAAATGGCCAGTGTTGTCACCAAAGCGGGTTGGTGCCCCCGCCTGCCATGAGCTCAACCACGGCCAAAAAGCCAAGGATCTCCTACTGGAAGGATCGGTGGAAGTCGTGCTTTAGCGCATAGACCGGGGAGGATTCGTAATTACTCCCCTGCAGGTCAACATGGAACCCCAAAAGCCGAGCCATGTTTAGAGGAATCTCCTCTTGCGTGCAGGGCCGCCTTTTTGCGTTCCATGTTGATTTGCGGGAAGCCCCGACGCGGCGGGTTGTAGCGATTTGTGCGGGTGTGTCCATATTAGGGTGCATACTAGGGCATGCACCGATGTTGTTGCTCTTGACGTGCTCTAAATCCAATTTCCAGACTTTTTCAGTATGCTTGCCCCTATCACAGGGACTGCCCACTTTCGATAGACTCGGTGAAACGAGCCGGACCTGTACATAGAAGGGGCTGCTGATGGCTCTGCCGCAGCAAAAGGCCGAGCGTGAGTGAGTCAGAGGTGCGCCTGCGTCAAAGCTGATCTGAGGGCTGGTTTCTAAGAGAATGTTTGGGAAGGTTGGCGTTCCCAGGCTACCCTAACTCACTGGAAGTGTTGTTCTACAGCCCGCTGATATGTTCAAAAGTAGTTTTGCCCTCTTAATTGTTGTTCTCTTCAGAGCTCGCCCATTGTTCTGCGCTTTTGCCGGTTTTGTTCCAGCCAACGTATGTGTGAGTCTGTTGGGCCAAACAACACCTAGGTCCCCCTATCGTTTCTTTTCTGGGGGAGGGTTCCCCCACTAAAACAGACTACAGAAAAAAGTTGGCACCCTTATTCTAGCCTCTCAAATCTGGAGGACCTAGTTATGTTTCGAATAGGCCCAGTGGGGCCAGTGGGGGTGCTTTCAGGTCACAGCCTGCGATCTGGCCAAAAACCCGACATTTGAACGGAGCTGTGGGTACGACGAATACACAAAAGATGTCCCCGGATGAGTCACTCTCCAAGGCGATCTCGCGTGGTCCGTGCTGGGCCCTGGCCTCTGCAGCGACAGAGACGCGGCGTGGCTCACAGCGGTCAAAGTAAAACTTTTAGCAGGGGAGCAGAAAGGGTGGAAACCAAAGGCCCCGGAAGGGTTGATAGCAGCTTAGGGGTCTGGGAGCTGTTGAGGGACAGGGGTCCGTGGGCCTGCTTGCTGAAAGTTTAGGTTGCGCAAGCACAGGCAACCTGGGGCAGCCACGTCTTCACTGACGAGCGGATGAATGCCTTGCTGGGTGATGTGACGGACGAGCTGCCGCTTGTTCGCAGCTACCCCGCCCTCTTGAATGCTTGCCGGCCCTCCTGGTCGTCTCTTTGGCCTTCTTGAAAAAGCAGAAGAACACCACAAAGCAAAGCTGGGGCTTTCGTGTTTGAAGCACCCCCACCCCGTGGCCCCCTTTGAAAGGAAACCAAAAGAAGGTTGTTTATTTCCAATCCTGGGTTCTGTGCCAACCAACATAGGGATACTCCCCAAAAGATGGTTTCTTGAGTCCAATATAATCATTGCAACCTGAAAAACCTGTAAAAAAGCACCTCGAGGGGTTGATTTCCCTGCGTTTTTGAGGATGTGACAGAAGGCTCCCAGGAAAGCATGGGGGAGCTTCCATTTGCTTAAGAATTAGTGGCTTGGATTGGTGGCTTTGGAACCTCTGGTTCTTGTAGAGGGTCAAAGGTGAACCACCCCTGAACCAAACCACCAATCCAACGGGTCGCCAATTGGAAGGAAGCCGAAATGGCGGTGGCTTAAAAAATGGTACCCAAAATGGCACCTTGGTTAATGGAATTCAAAGACTAAAACCAGCGGTTTGCACTGCGGTTGCTCCGGGTGATCTTCTTTGTCTCCAATGGAGAGAAACGTTTGACCAACTGGTCCCGCGTGCGAGAGAAACGTTTGACCTTTTTTCCATGTCATCCTTGGGAGTTGGAAGGCAGCTGAAATGGATGGGGGAGCTTCCCCTTCATCCAAGGCAACGCCTGGAGAGTGATCCCAAACTCGAGAGGTGGCTGCAAGCGCATGCGCGCTCTCAGTCGCAGCTGGTGGGCCATTCGGCTTTTTTGGCTCGTGCGGTTCCTGTGTTGAGTTGGTCCCCGCATTTTTGCTCCCATTTGCTGAAAAGGATATGTTTGATTTTTTGTCGCTTGGTTTTCAAGGAAATCTGTCACTGCTGGACCTGTTTGCTCATTTTTCCCAGGAGACTTCAGCACACGGAGGTTTGTGGTTTTAAAGGGCAACCAACAGGAAGACCAACGTTTTGGAACCAACAGGTGATGTTATACGAACCAAATGGAGGTTTGTGGCTCTTTCGGGGGCCCTCTTTGGGGCCTGACCACCATGAGGAACCACTCGGCGGTACCCGTCAGGTCACTACTACGAGTCCCTGCTGCACTTCGCCTTTGCCGAGCTGGGGCAGATCACCGTGGCCACCTATTCGGAGCCCATTCCCAAGGCCATCGGGACAAATCATAAATCGGGGACGGACCCTCCCCCAAAAAAAAACAAAATAAGGAAGCCTCCCCCCCCAAAAAAAGGCCCTAGGTGTGTTTGTGTTGAAAATAAGGGACCTAAGAAAGAGCGGTTTGTCCCTTTGAGGTCCCTTTGCAACTCAAAAAGGGTGCCCGCTAACAAGGCGCCATTTTGATGTGAAAGACCTTGGATTGGCAGCTACCGTGTGCAATCCTCGCAGGTTTCGGGTTCGCCGTCCCACTGCGAGAATTCGTTGGCATTCACGAATTTTTCGAGGGGCCGCGCTTGATTTCCCAACGGTGTGCGCTAGAAGATAGATGGTTTGATGCAAGGATTGCAATCAGAGTGTTGGCAGACCATTTGAGACGATGGGCTCATGCAGTTCCTTCAAGTTACTAGCGGAAGACACCCCCCTTTTGGGGGTGTCCCCTATTCTGGTTGGTATAGTTCTACGATATCTGTCGATGTGGAAAATGACTCCCAGACCTCCGAGCCCCAAAGTTTGGTTCGGAAACATATGTTGCTTATGCATCTTATGCGATATGGTGGTCGCTTCCCTCGTGGGAAGCTGGTTAGAGGGGTGTCCCCTGTTGGGAATCCTTCACTTCTGGAGGGAGCACCCCTAGACTTATAGGGCGGGCTCACTCAATACACCGGGATCAACCCAACTAACCATGGTGGAACTGGGCTTAGTTCCCTTAGGACCACAACCATTTTGCATGGGTTGAACATCCAAGTAGGGCGATCCCACGGATCAGCCCTCCCACGAGCTAGGAGAGGCCTTCAGAGCAAGGAGAGGGCAAAGCTCAAGTCAGGCCGGCTGGGCTGTGCCGCTTTTTTCTCTGAAAGACCTCGTTTTTTGGCAACATGTCGCCACGAGTGAAGGCTTATTGTCACGGGTGGGGCATGGAAAGTGTCTCGTTCGTGATATCCATGTGGCCAATCCTGGGCCAGCATGAACCCGACAGAAGGCGCCTCGGGCGAAAGTATCTTCCAGAACCATTCCTTAAATTATGTTATTAGTGGCGGGGCGGGGACCATCTTTCTTGCGTTCCAATGTTGTTTGATTCCGTTGATGGATTCCTTATCGCTTCCTTTGTCGCACGGCATCCAAAGGGCTTTCCTTTTTTACGCATCACATCAACTCGTTGCCCATCCAGGGGGTGATTCCCCATGCTTGTTTTCAGCCGTTAGTTGCCGAAACCGGCCGGTTCGCGGGCTTTTTTTCCTTCAGAAGGAAGTTAACCGCTCAGGAACATAAGGAACCCTGATCCTTTGAGCACGGCTGGACATGCGAGGAGGTTCCGGCCACCTCTGAAGTCTTCTGCGGGGGTGGACTTCTTTTGCAACGTCCGGCGGGCCACCTTCGCACCAGGCCAATGGGCAGAGGGGGATCGGAGCATCACCTTTGAAGGGTGCAATTGGGTTTCTTTGGCTTAACGTATCACCTGTCCGTTGCCTGAAAGCAATCAGTTTCTTTTGTGTAGGGCGTTGAAGGGGGAAGAATTGGGCACCTGGGAAGGCGCCAAGCGTGGTCGGCATGGAGGCATGGGTGTCGGGGAGAACCTGTGTCTTAAGTCGGCGCTTTCAAGCATCAGATGTGTTTCAAGTTGCTGTTGGATCTCGATGTCAGTTGGATCGCCTGAAGGGCAGAATTCAAATATCGAGAGAAGGCGCCTTTGGACGAAGCTTCGGCTTCGAACGGCGCCGGCGATCGCGAAGGCTCCTTTAGCCAACATGTTCAAAAGCAATCCTTTCAAGGATTCTTGCCGTCTTGCGGCTCTCTGGAAAACCATGCCAGCTATGTGAGGCTATAAATACAAAAAAATATTATGTGTATATATATATATATATATGCATAGGTCATATTTGATGAGCAATTCAGGGGTAGAAGCCTTATTTATCCAAGGTCCGAAACCTCATACCCAAAGCGTGAAATGCCCGATTAGGTAGGCCCATAGACCGTTGATGTTGTTAATTTTCCAAGTCCCCTCCCCCCCCCCAAAAGAAAATAACAACAACAACGAAAACAACTCCAAGCTTGCCCAACCCCCCCAACCCGCCCCCCCCGCAAAGTGTGCACAGGCAAACCGCCCCCACCCCCCAACACCACCCCCCCCAAACCGCCCACCTGCCTTATGGTCTCCGAGGGTAGCTGCTTCAGGCGGCCAGCTGCAGGTGGACTTCCAGCTGAAGCGTGGCAGGTCCCAAGATGACCCGCCGCCCCCCGAGCCTCGCATGCGATGCCACCCGCCCAACCATCCAATGCATGCAGTTCACTGGGTGCCTGGCCCCTTCAAGTCATTTTTGTTTTATGTTTTTTTCTTGGGTTTGGTGGTAGTGGGCGTGGTGAGTTCCCTCTACAGAGTGCAAATGTTCAATTTCTTTTCTACCAGGCGTAGTGGGGGTCCCGGTCCATATTTTTCTTGGGGCCTTTTTTTTGGAGGTTGGTTTAACGGGAAGCCAAGGCAAAAATAGCCTATTTTGTTGGTGCCTTCTGATCTGCCCTCTGTTTTCGTCACTTTCCTGGTATCGTATCTTGGTGGGGCCAGGGTCCCATGTTATTCGTAAGGTTTCAGGTCAAGGCCCTTTGGGCAGGGCATAGTCAAGCAGGGACAGGCTATGACCATTCCCCTCGCTTAGGTGGCTTACAATATCGCCCTTTACATCCCTATGTGTCCCCCTTGAAGTGAAAAGGATGTTTTAGCACGTCACCTTGAAAGTTCTTTGCATGTGATATTTCTTGCGGGGTGATGTGTGACGGAAAACATGGGGAGCCCTGGCCAGCATGTTCGCTTCAGCAACGAACAGGTCAATGAAAAGAACCGAAACCAAGGGAACCCCGAATGAACCCCTTCTTGGGTTGCGGGCTGTTGGGGGTTTAGGGTTAGTTTGGGGTTCCACAACTGATGGCAGCCCAGTTGGGTGAAAGTACATTCTCCCTGGCTCAGTCACCATTCTTGAATCCTTTCGCTTTCCCTTGGGAGGGCAACCCTAAAAGTGGCCTCCCCCAGACTGACATGGAAGCTGCCACCCCTTTGGAAGACTTGGCCCCGTTTACAGAGGTCTTTTGGGAGGCAGTTCGTCTGAGGGAGGGTACCACCAAAACATGCTTCCTTCTGGCTTCCCTTTTTTCACCAACCTCAAAATTGATACCACCAAAAAACAAAAAAAAACAGCGACAAACCCAGATGTTGCCGACTTATTCTTGGATTTCAGCTTCCGACCCGGCCGACTCTGAAACACCGAGGAGTGCGTGCTCCACGTGGACGGCGAAGCTCGGAGGATGGCCAGCCATGCGATGTCGGTGGGCAACGCCATGGACGGCCATGCAGCTCGCCCGGAAAAAAAAAGGGGAGGAAACACCAGTGCCTTGGTCCGAATAAGAATACTAATATTAACATAATAGTGATAGGAACAGTACAAATGGTAAGAATGACATTGCTAAAATACCACCATGGCGCCTGGGTCCAATTTGTGTTCGACTTTTTTTGTTGAACCGTTCCCCTCCCCCTTTTGCGCGCCATTGCATGAACCCCATTGCACGAGCAATTTGAATTTGAGGGGGGTCCAAGCATTGTTACCAGGGTTTCTTTTTTTCAGAGGCGTAGCAACCCCGGAATGTTTGAAGTAGTTTTTCTAAAAGGTCCCAGGTTGTTCGACCCGACTTGTTTCTGGCCGCTGGCAAAAAGGAGAAAACCGGATTTTAGGCCTGGAAGAACAGGGCCCCCTCCGCCAAAGAAGTCAACGTCAGCCCTTCTTTACCGAGGCGATCTTCAACGATGTCACGGCTGGGTGCACCATGAACTTCACTTACGCGCCCTCCTTCTCGCAAGTTTCACTGGAGCTGCCAAAGTACAAGGGGCCCGTGCAGGCTAGGGGGGAGCCGTCGATCCGGAGTGCTGCGTTAACATGTTCATAGGGCTTAAGTCGGCAAAATAAGTTGTATGGATTTGGCACGATGGCATACAATGCTGTCAATGTGGCTCTAAAAATTACCTGCGCTGCAGTTCAGATGCAACACGTGCATGTTTTGGACGTATCAGAAAGGAACCCTTTCTGAAGGAAAGAGGACGGTGTCACTTCCGTTGACCAACCTGGCAAGTACTGTCCGAGGAGGCTCCATTCCCCTTGTAGTTGCTTTGTCGGTTTAGGAATGTTAGGTTTTGGCACATGTGCCCTCGTACGAATGATATTTTGGCAACCCACAAGTAGCCCGCAAAAACGGGAGTTTGAGAGTCCAGATCCCAACAGGTGTAAACCGTACTGTGGGACGCCCGGTGCCTACACCAGGGTGACAACCTACAGGCTTTGGTGGAAATCACCGATGGCCCGGATTTGGAGTGAGCTTCTCCTCGGTGCGATAAATCACATGTGGACCTCCGGGTTGGTTCCTTTTTCCTATTTTCCCAGGTGCTTTGCCTTCCGAACAAGAAGTACCCCCGTGCAACGTACCATGGAGCCCAGAGGTCCATCACAAAGGCAAGTCCAAACCAGGATCCCTCGGAGTGTCAGGTTCCCTGTTACTACCCGAAACATGTGCTCTTTCTTTCCCATGGAAATCCGCTGGAGGTTTGGGTTGATCGGCCGAAACCTGCCGTTTGATTTCGTGTGCCTTCGCGCCGCGGTACAAGGGACCGAGTGAGTGTAGAAATCAAAGAATGAGTCTGTTGGGTTGTCTGGGTAAGGAAGCGGTTGGCTACTGCCTGTTTGGGGGAGATTGTCTCGGAGCAGAAGGTTTTCTCAGGATGAACGCTCCCTTTGAGGGGAAGATGTGTGTATGTGTGTGCGTGTGTGTTGGATTTTTCACCTTGGCCTTTTGGAGGTTGCAGTCGCCTAGGTCAAGTCCGAGGTCCTCTAAGCAAGGCCACACTCTAAGCAAGGCCACAAAGCCTTGTTCATCTCTTGGGGTGCAGACTCAGCCGAGAACAAAACGTCCGGGTGGGTCGCCCAGGGAGAGGTGGACTACGTTTTATGGCCGGATCGCGGCACTGCCCGTTTCTTGCACATCGAAGCCGCTGTGAAGTTCTACTTGGCGGCCAAAGATGACGCAGCTCAGCTGCAGGTTCAAGGCCAACATTAGGCACCCCACTCAAAGAAGTCACCCCTTAGAATTAGAAGTGCTGGGTCTCATCTGGCTTCCCCCAGCAGATACGTTGATATTACAGAGAGCTCCAACACAGTGCCAGTGCCACTAAAGGGCTCTTTTGGGCGCCTTTCGGTGACTGTTTCCCCTTAGTATTGGCCATACAGAAATCCCATGGCTTGGGGCTGCTAGAAAGTTAAGTGCCCCTTAGAAGAAGGACAATGAGCATGAGTTCTGGCCCTGATCTGGATTCCTCGCAGGTGCAGGAGTGGGATGATTTCATTGCGCCGAACCCCGTGGACATTCTGGGCAAGAGCCACGTACGAATTCTGGAGGGTTTGCCTCTTCTTTGGCCCTCCCCCCTTACATGTGTGGTTGACCTGTGGTTCCTTCCATCCCCCCCCAGTAAAAGGCACATCTGTGTCCTTTCGGCTTGGTGGACAATTCCTTGGATGTCACTGGCAAGGGAAGCGTGTCTATCCTAATACTTACACCACGGAGAAGGAAAAACACCAAAAAAAAAAAACGTTTTCAGGAGACCGGGAACTGAGCTCGGTCCTTGTTTGCCCTGCGAGCTGGTCTATGTGCGCAGAGACTCAGGAAGTTGCGGCGGATGCTCTCCCATCAGCTCCCCATGGGCCGGATACTCAGGAACTCCATGAAATCCGAAAGGGTATTGTCATCGTGGTTTTTCCACCCCCCCTTGTTTACTCACCCGCAAATTAAAAACGAAAAGGAGTTTCCTCTAAAACATGATGTGTTTTATTCCGGATTCTGTGTGAATCTGCAGGGAATGGCTGCTTCTCTTGCTATCTTGATGTTTCTTTCATTTTCCATTTCAATCCGCAAATAAGTTGCCCAGAGCTCAGGGGGTTGCTCTCCTTCGGAGACCTCCCAAGCAGCTGAAGTTGGTTGATTGGGTGTTTAACAGGCCCCGTGGTGCTAAAAGGACATAAAAGCACAGACGCTTCGACGCGCATATAGCCTTCATGCCAGGGCTTCGTCAAGGTGCGCTTGATTCAGCGCTTCCGCTCAGGTCAGACGGAGCACATTCGAAACCTCCTGGCGGGATTGAGCAAGTCGGCTGCCCCACAGACCCTCAGCCAAAGCTCAGCCATTTCCATACGGAGGCTCCAGTGGGTTCAGCTGGTGTCAATTGTGCAGAGGGATTCAGGGTGCAAGGGAAATGCTGGCATGAGTCCGCACTGATCGCCGCAAGGGCACCTACAGGTAAGCTGAGCTTCAGCCTTTTATGTCCCTGTTCCTGACATCAGATGCGAGTTTTCAAGGTGGCCATTGTGGAATAAAAACGGGAAACTAAAAGGAGACAAACTGGAACAAGGGCCCCTTTGAGAAACGCCCGTATTGGTGAAACATGTTTGCCCTCGTGTGCCATGCAAAGAACAGAACTCGCTGGGGTGATGGTTGAACCCTCCCACCAATGAACATGGAACCTGACAGAGTCCTGGAAGACCATGTCCATGTTGTTTTGAATGGGACCCGGTCAGATTCCATGTTAATTGGTGTGGGAGGGTCCTGCCTGTTGTTGTTGTTGGGGGGGCCAAGAGTCCCGGACAACCGGTTGCAGTCTGAAGAAAGGTCGCGTCAACGGCCCCAGGATTTCCAGCTCGCTGTGGATGAACGGCCGGCTCTTCTTCCATGCCAGGGGCTCCCTGGCGGCCCTGGCGCCTCGATCTGGGATGGATCGGTCTCGGGCGTGGTTCGTCCGTGGGCGGGTCCCAATTCCCATGGGGGAGCCCCCATGGAGGAGTAGACCTTAAGGCAAGCCTGGCGAAGTGGAAGGGCCCTGAAAGCGGAGGTTGAGCTCATCCAAGGACCTCTTGGAGGGAAAGTGAAAGCTGAAGCTGAAAACGGCTACTGTGGTCGCTGGTTTCAAGTTTCGACCGGGAAGGTATCAACTGTCTCGCGAGACCCGACTTTAAGCAAAGGCCTGTTGGGAGTCCCCATGCTACAGGGTGATACAATCGCCAGGTGGTGTCCGGTGGGTCTAGCAGACAGATTCTCATGGGGCCACTCCGGGCGCGGAGCTTCGGCCGTCGGCAGGCGGAGTTGCCTTCGCTCGCGCCGGGCTGGCACGAGCGAATCCAGATGCTCAGCCCAGACCTCGAGGTGTGGTTCTCGTCTCGTCGGAGTTGACTCAGCAGTCAGACAGGAGAGGATCCCCGGATCCAGCGCAGCCTAGCGCCCGGGTTCCAAAAACTTGCGTTTTTTTTTGTTTTTCCTCCCAATGTTCAAATCCCCAAGAACTCCGAAAAGCAGTGGTTGCGGGGGTGGTGTGTGTGTGTGGATGGTGTTCAGATGTTTTTGCAATCCTTTAGTCCGAATCCTTTGGTTCTAAGCGCCTCTCCTGGAATGGCATGGGCCTTTTGGATTGTTTCTTCCAGCGATGTTCAGCTAGGCCTTCCAAAGTGTTCGAGAACCGACAGCTGCGCATGCGGCATTCGCTTGGCGCGCAAAGTACTGCATTCATGATAGTTCCCTTTCGGAATGGTATCTTCACCTCCCATACGCGACATGTGTTGACGCACACACACGCACGATCCGTCCCAGCCCCGTTGATCTTCACTTGTTTTGGCCAGCTCAACCGGGGATCATAGTGAGGACAGTGAGGCCTGAACAAGCCCTTACATGGTCCAACCAACTGTTTTGGGCGCTCAAACGAACTACAAAGGGGGAAGCGTGGGAACAACCTCTATAACGGCCGCCTTGCTTTGTTTTGGACCATCTTAGTGCTTTGTCTCATTCCCTATCCACGCAGGGTTCCAGCATATGGCATAATATTTTTGGTTTGGGGATTCCCCATGGCAGAGCGCAAACAATAAGTCTCGCCTGTTTGGAGACATGATGGCCCGTAGCCACCCTGGAGAACCTACCATTCGGCCGAGTTGTTTACCCCCAGACCTGCAGTGGCGTCGCTTGTTCGTTCTTCCATATGGACATTCACTGGGGGTCTGGGCAGCGCCAGGTGGGCTGGTGGTGTTTCCTCAGAGAGCTGGACAGAAGTGCCGGCCGCGTGTCGCGTGCTCCTGGTTTTCTGGGTGATATTCGAGCCCAGCAGGGGGAAGTGGTTAGCAATGGGAGGTGTGAAAAGAAAAGGGTGGCCTCAACACAAAACAGAGACAAGCCAATTGATGATCTTGCAACGCTGTCAACATGATGCAGAATGCCTGGTTGCATCACACGAGTACCCCAATTTTTGAAACACAGGCAGCAATCTGTTGCACCCCTGTGGCGACATAAATTGTCGGTTTCTTTGGTCCCTTTTTTGGGGGCCCCGGAGTTCCCCAAGTCGGTTGTTTCTTCTTGGTTTCCCATGAAGACCTTTTCCGGATCTTCATTTTTTGCATAACTTTGGGCATTGTTTTAGCGAAGCCAAAAGGGGATCCCCCAAAAGTTCCCACGCGCAGGAGGCAGTCCTGCCGGAGAGGCTCTTCTACTTGGTGCTGCGGAAGCCCTACTGGCTGGCACCGTTGCGGGGCTCAGGCCGGGATTTCTGGGTAGCAATGTTGCAAGGGCTGAACAACACAGCCGCCCATTTGTAACATGTCTGGATGTTTTCCAACCATACAATTTTCAGCGACACTCATATTTACCTCCCCCTTGTTATTACAGCATTGCCGCATATCTAACACTTGAACATTTAGCATCTTTGGTTTTTTCTCCTTGGCCCAGTGTTTCGCGCCCAGCTTGGGTCACGTCTTTTTCTTCAGCGCCAGGAGCCCGGCACGTGGACCACGGGGCGCTGCGCAGCAGAGGGCAGCTGCTGAGAGACGCAAAGTCCTGGCGGAGCTTCCAATATGTGGCAGCCTTTCCGCGCGGGGATGGGAGGGGCTGGGCTTCAGCTGAGTCACTTGGTAATTTTAAGCCATGATTCTGGTTTCCCGGCCATTTTAACACCGGGTTGTGATTGTGACTCAGCTGGCCGTGCTTTGGTTTTGCCACAAAGGAAGCCAGTCAGTTTTGGGGTCCTACTTTGAGACAGACAGGTGGGTGTGTTGTCCTGCAGCCTCCGAACGCAACCTCAAAGGAATGTGCGGTTTGTATCCTCGCACAAAATAGTATGAGGGCTATATACTTCGTGCAACTTCTTGCTTGTATGCCCAATGGCTATTTGCCTGCTAGCTCGTCATATGATATTGAAAAAATATGGTTGTTATTGTTTTGCGGATTCAGATTCAGAAAGAGCCACTATAGGCTAGTGACCAGAGATTGGACACGCGGATTCGTAATCACGGTCCAACTTTCTGAGTCTATAAATTTGGTAGCTAAGTTCGAATCGATTCAACGGGACGTTGCGGAAGAGAATTATTGTGCGACAAACTCCATTTGGAACCACGAAATGAAACCATGGTTAAATCCATGATTGGGAATTAGTTATTTACAGGGAGAGGAATCATGATTCCGGGGCTTCTTAGGCGGTGCAGGATTTTGTCCATCCACAGTGGTGTCCTATGGCTGTTATTGCTGCACCATGGAATCGTTGCAAAAAGGTTCCACTGCAGCTATTAGGCCCGTTCAGGCATTGGCACATTTGACAACCATAGGACTTGTTGCTTTGTCACCAGTGGCTGCGGGCTCAACTGAGTGAACTGGGGGCTGAAAACGGGCTCACCATTGAAGGCATCCTGTTTATTGAAGGTTGCTCCAATCAGGTTTTGGGGTCACTGGTCGTAACTTTTGCAGGCAGACACATGCTGACCCAAGTCCTTTCATCACTGTGCAGATGGAGCAACCGGCTTGCGTGGCCTGCTTGGCCGAAGGCTCACCAAGCCCAGGCCGTTTTTTTGGTGTTTGTTTGGCAGATGTGTTTTGTGGGGTCCCGGACCAAAACTGGTCCCTGGACAGGTAAGCCTCGACTGGCCTTTGGATCGGTGTGGTTTGAACCCCTGGTTCTTGGCAAGGGCAAAAGGGAAATCACCCACCTCCTAACCAACAAACCAATCCAAACTACCAATGGGAAGGAAACCACTCACCAAACCACCAATCCAAACCTTCAATTAATTGGAGGGAAGCTGAGGTAGTGCTCTCATACCCAGACGGTGGACCGCAGTACGAAGAGCTTTGCCGAGGCGGGTATTTCGATCCAGGGATTGAACCACTGCCAAGCTTCCCGACCGCCTCACATGGATTTCTTGGCAGAGGCGTCCCTTCTTCTGTTGCCATCTCTTATGCTGTCAGCAAGGCACCTCGCCTCACAGCTCCCCTGCCACAAAATCCCAGTTGGCCCAGGCTCCTGAAAAGATAAGATTTGGTCATTTACATGTCCTGTTTTTCCCACCAAGCCAAAACGAGGTACCACTGTGGTAGGAAACCAGGAAACCGGGCATAACCGGCCGCTTGATCCTACGGTCATGGTTTGTTCAGTGGGTTTTCTTTTGTTGAATGGACTGCATAGGCCTTAATCCAGCACTAGGAGGCCCCGGGAAGGTTGTTTGAGGATGCTTGAGGGCACCCTTGTCTTACCGGCCGGCTGGGATGGGTCAAGTGCCGCAAGCCCGCCTTCCTAGAATCTGCATTGCGCGGCCCAATGGATCCTCAGTATTCGGGTCTGTCCTTTTTGGTACCCTTTCTGAGTTGGCCTAGGGAAAGAGAAACCGAAGGGGGACACCACCGTTTCGTGGGTCAGAACCCATGGCTTGGACGCGTAGCGAGGCTTTGTGGTGCCAGACGCCTGGCCTCGGCAGCGCTCGCGGAGCCGATCGCAGCTCGGGCAAAGATGGCTTGGTGGCTCCCAGGCATTCGGGTCCTTAGCCTGTTAGCGTTTTAGTGTTTAGTGGTAGTTTCCATTTAACCCACGAAAGGTTAAACTTTTAGCGGGGGATCTGAGGGCGGCCCAGATGTGATGGGTATGGGTCAAAATTAATTCACCGGCGGACCGCAGGTGTTCGTCTTTGTTTCCATTCACCAGGATTCCATTTCGGGTATGTATTTTTGACCCCCACCCATGTGGCCAATTGAGGGCGTGCCCGACATAAAACCTGCGGTGCTAGGGGTGGCTTCCCCATGCTTTTTAATTATCATCCTTGTTTTTTTTCAACCAGTTGTTTCCCCCCTTGTTTTTTTGTTGTTTTCCTGAAAAGAATGGGGAAGCTTCCTCTAGAGGGGTTAGGGGCGCATGTCCAGGCACCAGCCCCAAAAAAGCGACCCTGCTCTTCAGTCCGGTATGTATTTGGATTTGTTTGAAGTGAACTGTTGGTAAGCCTGGGCTGTTCAAAGGCAATCCTGAGTCCTTCCCTTGGGTTGCGCAAGGAACTGGTCCCCTTCGCAGTGGCTTTTCAGGGATTATAGATCGGATTGGCTAACCCGCCATTTTGAGCAGCCCAGTATTAAAACAGGGTTCCTCAAGAAATACGACGCCTGGCGAGGAGCGTATTGGGAAACTCTCAACATAGGTGGGAACTCTCAGAACAGGTATTTTGGGAACCCTGGTAAATGGAACTGGAGCCTAAACCTGCGATCCAATTCCTGGCGGTTTCATTTTGGCCCATACCCAGGTGGTTCCATGTGGAATGGTTCTGGGTGAATTATAACGACCTCACGTGACCTCGCCCCAAATGGTGGTTTATGTTGGGAATAGCCCCCAACCACCTTGTTTCAGGCTGGTGAAATATATTATAATGCACCCAGATGGTCAAGTTTTTTGGCCGACGGGTCACCGGTTGCAACTCCTTGCTGTGTCCTCGCGCCAGGCCGAGCGCCAGCGAGACCAGCCGCTGAAAAGCGACAGAAGCTCACAGGTGGCGTTTTTAGAGGAACCACCCAGTTGCCCAGTGGTGCCCTTTTTCCTTTTTTCGGGAAGGGTTCCGCTGTAAAGTCAACCAACCAAAAAGCATGCCCTTTTTTTCCCATGGCCGCTGGGTCTGAGACCAGACCTTAGGCCTTGGTTGGATTGGTGACTTGGCACTTCTAAAAACCTGGTTCTTGATTCAAAAGCCCAAATCCATCCAAGCCAAAGCCTGGTACTTGGTCGCTTTTTTTGGCCTTCGGCTTTCTTCTTTGTGGGGTTTGTTGATTTTGAGTGGGACGGGTGCAAGTGGCCAAAGTCTGGCTGCCTGTGGCCTGAGACCCCAGGCTCCCAGGCTCATGGTTCGGAGGCCAAGCCTCAGTTTCGGTCCGGCCCATAAGTTTGCACATCCGGACATCAAACAGAGGAGCAAACAAACAAACGACAGCCTTTAAAGATGAGGCAACTATCTGAGCAAGCTTGCCTAAAGTAAAACAACTAATGGAAACACAATGAAGCAACAGAAAGAAACAACCTGAGCCTCAAGCTACGCAATCAAGCAAAAAGCAGCACCTGAGCCCACCTCCATTTGGAAGACAGCCTCGGGAGTCCGGTTCACCTCGCGCGTGCCATGCGCTAGCGATCGATCGGAGCTATGGCCTTCAAGATGGCCATCGCCGGCAAAGGCCGGGGCAAAGGCCGCGGGGCCGGCCTGGCCGCGTTCGAGGATGAGCCCTGGCAAAGGCGATGACTCAGTGAGACTCAGTTTGGTAATTACATCCCTCCCCTCCGATTCTTGCCGGTGCTCAGCAGGGAATGAGGGCATGACCCCGAGAAAAAAGCAGCATCCATCCTATGGTTTGCAAGGGTATCCCTAGGTTCATTCCCAAAACCCGGAGGGTCATGGCATTCCAAAGCACATTTAAAACATGCCGACCTTCTTCATAAAGCACATGTATGTTGGATCTGAAGCATCTCTATAGGCTAGATGCCCCACGAAGCCGTTCGTCTTTTTCTGGCAAGACGGAGGGGGCACCGGCCACCAGTTGAAGTAACGCGTGTGCACGTAAGGAGCCCAGCCCAAAGAAGCGGCTGCTGAAGCTGGAGAAGAGCCCACCCAGCGCCTCGGCTCCTTCATTTTTTTGTCGGCGCTTGGTTGGTTTTGAGAGGGGTTTCCATTTGGCTATGGGGCACAACCTATGGCTCCATTTTGGGGTGGATGAACATCCATTTGCCACCTATTTTGATGTTCACCAGGGGTACGGGGTTGTGACCCACAGCCATTTCACTCACACGTAGAAACTTTGAGCAGACAGCCCATTCTCGGTTATCCAACACCTTTTGACCTTTTGGTTTTCCCATGGGCCTTTTTTTAGTCACAGCCCCAAAAGGTTGACCTTTTAGTTCCATGTCCTTTGGGCAAGTTACTATTTGGTTTTGACGTTGTGCTTCTCTGCGCAGAGAAGAAGAGGCAGTAGATGCACATTCGGGATCCATGATGGCAATCGCCGCACGAGCGACGGACAATACTTCTAGGGTATGAATGACGTTGGTTTTGGCTAGGCCCCCATCGGTTGTGGTGATGCTGCTGTCAACCGGGTACGCACATGGATTTGTCAAGAGGAGCTTGAGGGTGCCAACTAAGCTGCATGCCAGTGGGATTGACCTTCTGTTGCAGAGGGTATTTGTTTATAGTTACTGCGTTTTGTTTTTTCCAGGCCCCCCCCCCCCCCGCCCCCCCTTTTTACAATAAAATTGGACTTTGACCCTGTTCCATCCTACGAGGAACAGAGGTCCTTAGCCTCCAACAGCTGAAGCCAGGGACAAGCATGCCATTTGGGCCCTGGGTTTCGGTCCGTGTGATTTGCCGCATTTCGGCCATGTCCATGCAGAACTATGCTAAGCAGGCTCATGTTTTTCCTGGCGTTTGCTGCATTCTCTATGTCCTGGCTGTACAGGAATACTAGTTGATGCATGTTGCTAGGTGGCTTATTCGTGTGGGAAGGGTTCCAGCTATGTTCTCAAAGCTTTAGGCACGAACTCAGCTAGTTTCTTGGATTTTGCACATAGCTTCGCACATTGCAACGATGACCGAGTCACTCGGATTGAGGAAATGGAAATGGCGCTGAGCCGGAGCCTAGCAAAGCGGAGGCCAAGGAGCCATCAGCTTCAGAACCGCAGGCGGCTAGAGCTGGGTTTCGACTCGTGATCGATCTGGATTGATGTTTTTCAATGGCAGCACCTAGTTTTGCGGCATCCCCGGAATGTGCTTGACTCAAAACTGGGGTTTGAGGGGCGCGTTCTTTTGCTTCGCGAAAGGAACCTCGGATTTCCCCCCTTCTTTGGCTCAAGCGTTCCAGCTATTTTCCCCAAACGGCCATTTGGGCCGGTTGTCTCTACAATGCGGGGGGGAGTGTGAAATTGTGGGCCCCAGTCCTATGCCGCAGTCAACCAACCACCATGGTAAGTTACGCTTTTCCGTTGTTTCCCACTGGAGAGTTTGAGAAAGCGACAGCAATCACCAGGTAAAAACAAATTATCACTTTAGAATGTGAAATACTGTAGGTTCTAAGTTATTTTTGTGTGTGGAAGTAGCAGGCACTAGCTGCGTATCGCCGTTGGGCTCGTTTACCAAGGCCAAACAAGAGAGACCCCCGGCAAATAAAATAAAATAGATTCGGAATCCCGAATATCCCGTGATTTGCAGAGCAAACTAGCTTGCTTTGTCACGTGCTGACTTTTCCGAACGCATTCTTTCACTTTATGATTGTTTTGCGGTTGGCTTTTCTGGTTCCCTTTCAATTTCGTCCTTCCCAGTGTCATGTTGAGGTTTCTCTTGGCCTTTCCTAGGCCTTGGCCTTTGTTTGTGTTCCTTTGGGTTCTCCTTGAATTTTCTTGGTCTCTTTGGTTTTTTTTTGGGTTTTCTTGCGTCTGGCTTCTTGGTTTCCTTGGGCTTTCCTTGATTTTCCTTGGGTTGGTTTTCTTTTTCTCTTTTTTTTCCCTCAAATTGTCCTTGGGTTGGTTTTCTGTTGCTCTGTTTTTTTGGGTTTTCTCGGTTTCCTCAGAAAACCTTGGGTTGGTTTTCCGTTTCTCCGTTGTTCCTCGGGTTTTCGTCGGGTTTTTCCTCGGCCGTTGCCCCCACCTCCAAAACCAAATCCGTTTTCCAAGGGTACCGTTCTTCAGCTCGTGTTTTTACAGGGATCTCACGCAATTCATTTTTTGGATCTGGCTATTTTGACACCCAATTATGGTGCACGTTTCCTGGCGTTTCCTGGGGTTCCCTTGGTTTTCCTTGGTGTCGTTCTTGGTGGCTGGGTTTCCTCGGCCGTTGCCCCCACTCGACTCGCCTCGAGTTGGACGCCCTGGACGCCTTCATGGAGAAGATCGACGCCAAGGCGGCGGAGCCCGGCGACGACGACGCCTTCGCCAAGAAGGCGCCGTGAAGAAAAGCCCGTCCCGCGGCGGCCGTTTTTTGTTGTTCGTTTTTTTTTGTGGCTCTTCTTTTTTAGGGGGGAGATATGGCCTGGCCCGGTTCTTGCAATTTCTTGTGGCTTGGGTTGGGTTGGGTTGATTGGTACTGTCGGGTACTGTTAGCTTTGCTGTTTGATTTGCAGTGTGTGTGTGTGTGTGTGTGTTTTTTTTGTTTTTTCCCGTTGGGTTCTCCACTTATAATGTTGTTCTGTTCCGCATGTGTGTGTGTGTGTGTCTCTGTCTCTGTCTCTGTGTGTGTGTGCGCGCTTTTGTTCCGTGGGGTTGTGATGATTTGTGGCATTTCCTTGGGTGATGATGGGTGGTGCTTCGGTGCCCCATCCCCAGGTGCTCGAAGCGGGCGCAACTCCCAAAGTGGGCAGTTGTCCGTTGCTTCCTTGGCACAGCCAACAATCAGGTTACTCTTAGTTGGCGGTTTGGATCCGTTGTTTGGGAGTTGAACCCCTGGCTCTTGTAGGGCAAACCAGCCCTATCCTTCAAACCACCAATGAGACTGGAGCTGAAATAAGGGTTCCCTCAAAAAAGAACATTACCCAGATAGGTCTTGCGCCATCCGGCAGGCAATGGCTTCCTGGGATGACATGCCGAGCCTTGGCCACCAGAAGTGCGGTTACAGCCTGTCCGCTTGCAAGCTACAACGAGCTCAGGGGGGAAAATGAGCTCACTCACTCATGATGAAAGTCCCTTGTACCTTGGATTCCTTCGATCTGTGAATCATATTTGACTTGGGCCTATACTCGGCCTGGATCAAGCCGTTCCCTGAGCAAGACCTACACTCCTGTTGCATCGAAAATCGAGCCCAGTGCTCTTGGGCTAAATCAACCTGATGCAATTCCTCTTCCCACCGTTGGCTTACCCGACACTTCCCAAGATCCATTCGAACTCCGTCCGGAACTTACCTTAAACAAAGCAGGGGGCTCATACCGGTGCCCGGCGAGCATCAATGCCACGGCCTGAGCTGGCATCAACCCACCCTGACTAGCCTCCACACACCCTACATCCCAAACCCACACCGCCCTGAACCCATCCGGAGCCTAGCCTGAGCCCATCAGATACCACCCTGAACCCACCTTAAACGGCCCTCATCCAATCTTCACAGATCCAAAGCCGCCCCCAAGCAAGCCACTCCGCTGAACGTTCAATGAAGCCTGGCAGTAGATTGCTGTGAGGGGTAACATAGTGCACTGCCTAGGGCTGAAGACCCGGTGGCCTCATACTGCGAGCTTTGCGATCAGAACGCCAGCAAGGGCGACGAGGATGAGGAAGCCACGGGGTGCAAAGCAGATGGGCACCACTGGTGCATTGGTCCAATTGGTGTGGCCCCTCATGGGAAAAAGGAACGAGGTTGAACCAATCATTTGGGCCGAGGGCAGTCCTTCCTTCCCCTGGCCCTTGGAATGCGAAATGGCTTTCTGGGTGGTTTCCCAACGATGTATGGACTGGCCTTCATTTTGAACAGCCCAGACTCAGCACCCATATTTGTGTTTTTACTTCTTTCAAAACCAGCCGCAAAAAGCTGGACTACTGTTTCATGGGCCCAGGCCCTGTGTATACCACACCGCCTTATTTCAGGATGGTTTGTGTGTCCCCCATTGTCAGCTTTGCAGGCAGTCTGTCTTAAAAGTGTTTTGTGTACAGACCCTTTTGGCATACCTCTTCGGTAAATGCCCCCTAAAAGGCTTGCTGTTCATACCCCTCTCCCCAACAAGGTTTTAATATACCATATCCAAGGCAGTTTCGCAAACAGGAAGCCCAAGGGGAAAGGAAAAGCAAGTAAGTATGCACTTCCACTCTTTTCTGAGCATTTGGCTCGGGCTGGTCAGAACTGGGTCCATGAAAGTGCCATCAAGATGACTCTATCTAAATGGCGGTTTGAAGGAGCACCGCCCTCCAAAGTAATTACTGAGAGCCCCTCAAAATGCAACCACTTCAAGGGACCCACACAAACATGTTTCAACCAGCTTGCCCCAGGAGGACGAGGAAAATCAGGACCGGCGCCGCAAGCCCATCGAGCCACTGCCCCGGGTCAACCATGAGGAGATCGAGTATTTGGAGGTGGAGTTCGGGTTTTACAAGCCTCACCCTGAGCGCCTGGGCTTTTTTCACCGCCCAAGACACAATCATCTCAGCCAGCACGCAGTAACCTTTGGATAGTACTTGGAACATTGGACATGGGAAAAGTAGTTGTTGGGATTTGGGTACTAGAGCTAACTCCCCTGGATTTGTTTGTGTTGTTTGTAATTGGTCAAGAGGGCTTCACTTACTTGACCTCCAAAGCTAGGGGGCTGTTTAATTGCTTGTTTACCGCTGCTTCTTGAACACAAAGGGACTCATAGCCCACTGGCAAACCTGCGCCGGGCGTTGTTGTGCGTGTGTTTCTTTGGGGTTTGTTGCTTCTTTCCTTTCCTTGGCTATGTTTTGGTTTTTCTTTGCCGCTTTGTTCCCTTTCTTTGTTGAGCTGGGTGGCGGCAGGGGAGCCCTGGCCTTGTCTCAAAATGGGCGACACAATGACAAGGAAAATCAGAGGAAACCAAGGGAGATGCCCCTTCGAAGAACACTATGGCCATGAAAACCCTGAAGGTACTTACAACAGACAGCGACTTTGCACAGCTCCCCTGTTCACATACACGAAAAGGGCACAGGCGAAGGATCCAAGTGCCGTGCATAAGGGGCAATGCTCGCAGCCGTTTGCTGAGCCAAACTTGTTGACTCGAGGATCGAGCTGCTCTCTGACGAGGAAATTGCGTCCCTGCGGAAGGACGGCGCGTGCGTCCGCGTTTGGCGAGGCTGATTCGGATCCTTTGGTTTCTCTTTTTCTGCGGGATGATGATAAGAGGAACCAGCAAGGGTAGTCCCCGAAGTGGGTTCAATGCGGGGGCATACGGGATACTTCCCCTTTGCAGGCCACGAACATGTTGAAGCTGGTTGATGGCATTCAAAGTATGGAGCTTGTTTCGAACTGGCCGGAGAATTAGAGCAACAATACTCCCTGTTTTCAGCATGCAATGTGGCAGATCTCTTTTGTAGCCCATCTTGGGGCTTGGCGAGAGAGAGAGAGAGAGAGAGAGAGATAGAGAAAAAGAAAAAAAAGAAGCACCGGGCCCAGGCTCCTGTGATTGCCAACAGATCTTTGCAGGTGTCTTTTGGGGTTGGCCTTGACAGTCTTCTGAGAAAGCCTACTCATCAGGGTTTGGGGGGGGGGGAGGGCTTGCCACTTAGCGAACTCCTGGACCAGCCAAGTGTCCCATTGCATGGGGCAAGTAATAAAACACCCAGGTCACATTCAAGGGTGTCTCGTTTTTTTGGAGGTTGACCTAAACACAGGGGTAGCCTCAAAAACTTGCTGAGGCTCAGCAGGGAATGAGGGAATGACCCCTATGAACCATCACCCTATGGTTTCCTTTTAGGTGGATTCCCACATTCCCTACTGAGCACCAGAACAACAAATGCACCCCCAGAACTTAGCAGTTGGGGGCGCTTCTCAGGAGATGCGCGTGGCAGCCACCGGCTCTCATTGCCCCCGGCCGGTGGTGTCCTTCGCACACCTACGGCTGCCCAAGGACCGTCACAGCGGGGATGCGCCTTACCCTTGTGCTGACCCCATATGAGTCAACCCCAGTTTAATAGTACTCTGGATGGACAGAATCCTGCACCACTTTTGAAACCATGGCAAACCATAATTTACAGAAGAATCGTTATTCCGGGCTTCTGAACGGTGGTGCAGAATTTGGTCCACCCACAGTAGGTGTCCCTGGGTTTAGTGCGGAATCAGACCACTTTTGGAGGGGAACACCCCCCGCTCGATTAATATGGGGTTGATTAATGCGGTCAGCATTAAGACAAACCTGATGCCTGCAAGAGGGGCGCTGTTACAGGGACAGGGTCTTTCAGGGGTCCCTTGCGGGGTCCATGTTTTTTTTTTGCAGGGGTGCCTTCCGTTTTGTAAGAGAAGGCTATCAGATGCTGGCCTTGGTGAAGCAATGGGTTATAGCGTGGGTATTTTAGGCAACAAATCTGCCGAACCCTCTGGCGGCACCTGCGAGGAAAGTTGATCAGTGTGATGTGGCCCCAGCCCCCCTCGCGGCATTCTGGCCAGCTTTCGTTTCTTGGCTTTACTTTTGCACCCAGCTTCTTCGTGAGTTTGAGTCAAAGGCCGGTAGGGGCCGATGTTGAAGAAGCCTACATAGCCACCCAGCTGCGCGTACTTGGAAATTCAACCAACTAAAGTAGCCTAGAACCAGTGCAGCTGGTGCTCGTCCTCTTAAAACCTATTTGCCTCACGTTGGTTGCGTCCACCCCTTGCTTTCTCACCCCTGTTGGCTGTGGTGGAACTGAGATAGTCGTCCTCTTGCCCAAAGTTGGTTGACTCCACCCCTGGCGTCAGCCCCTGTCGCATGTCGGCTGTGAGGAGCTTTTGGAGGGCATCCGCAAGAACGGGTACTCCAAGCCCACGCCCATCCAATCCCAGGCCTGCCCTGCCGGGCTGAGCGGCCGCGACGTCATCGGCATCGCAGCCCGGATCGAGCGGACACGCGGACAACCGGTGGGCGAGACCCGCGAAAGCCGAGATGTGTCGTTTAATGAGTAGCGGTTTGTTGGCTTTGGTTTTGAGGGTGGGGGTAGTTCAAAGGGGTGTGGTCGTTTTGTACCCTTTGTAGTTCAAAGGGGGTGTGGTCGTTTTACCCGTTTTCCTAAAACCATTTTCTCGGCTTTGGCTGGGCCAGTGGGGGTAGTTCAATTGGTGACCGAAGGCATGCCGCCCATCTTGGCGGCTCGATTTGGAAAGAACTCCAAACTGGCTCCGTTTCTTTATTGTATTTTGCTGTGGGCCGGAAGATGGGAAAGCAAAGAGACCTCGGTCTACGAACACGAAGAGGGCGACTGGATCTTTTGGGCTCCGATTCTGCCATAGGCTTCAAACACAACACGCCATGGCCAAGTTGCAAGGAGTTGAGTTCAAACCGGAGCCGGGCTGACTTGGACCGGTTGTTGGGTTGCCAAGTTACCTTCCTTTCTTCTCGTGCTCATTGCACTTGGCCCGGCCGCGAGCTGACCCAGGGGAAGGCTTGCGGAAGCTGAGGCAAATGACTCCGTGCGGTTTTTTTCTTCGGATGTTTCCAAACTGAGCAAGCTCCTTCACGGTTTGGTCGCTTCTTGGTAAGGAAGGCGTTTTCAAAGTAGCACGCATGATGGCTCACCGTGGTATCACAAGGGCGAGTTTGCACAAAGTGCATACATGGGCTCAAATACAGGTCCCCTCTTGTAGTTTGAAAGCACCTGGCCGAGGGTCGAGGCAGAAACGGGCCGTTTGCAGCGAGCCCAGGCAGAAACGGGCTCGGGCAAGACTGTGGCGTACTTGCTGCCGCAGCCCGGCGCACAATCCACAGAACGTGCCCGCACTTGGAGGTTTACCCACGCCCTAGCCAGGATTCATGGCGCCAGTCTTTGTTGGCGAGCATCCACCACTTGAGCAAGGCTCCTCAAAGGGCTCGGTGGAGTGAATGATCACACCAGCCCGGATGCTGCTTCAATCGATTGAGTCAAAGCTTCTAAATGGTGCTCAAAACTGGAATAAGTACATTTGGCCTTAACTGATATTGAGTTGGATCTTTAGACTTTAACTTTTTGGGACACAAGGTGTTTCCCACTAAATCCCAAAAAGGTTAAACTTTTTGCAAGGGGGTCAACAGCAACCAAGTTGCTGGCACTGTTGTAGGAAGCCCTTTCTGGGTTGGATCAATCAGCGAAACACTGCTCCGCAACCAACATATTCTCACTTGCCCAAAGCCGATCACCTTTTATTTTCAGGGCCGAACTGGGCAAATGAGCGTTTCCAACATGACATACACTTCCATTTGCTTGAGAATATTTTTGTTATTTAATCTTCTCCTGTTGGTTTTAAAGGGAATCGATTCTACTACTGGACAGTTTAACAAAAAGCTATCCCTACTGGACATATTTGTTCATATTTTTCAGGGGCGAACACGCAGCAAGAAAGCATCCGCAGCTCAGGATGCTGGTGCACTGCGCCGCGCAGCCGGAGCTCAAGAAGGACGAGGGGCCCATTGGCCTGGCCTTGTGCCCCACCCGCGCCTCGAATTCGAAGAGCGCGGGAGGGGGATGGGGAGTGGTGTAAGGTGGAGACAGATGTTGCAACCACTTTTTATTAGGAGGGTTAGCTTAGTGTTAGCTTCCAGCTTGCTGGAATGATAGGTTTCCAGGTTTGTTTGGCTCTGTCCATCTTTGGTAGGGGGCTGCTAAAAACAGAGTTTGTTGCTACCATACCAAGGGCTGGATCAAAGTTAGGCTCCAAGTGTGCGTAGCCGTAGCATGTTGGGAATTCGGCAAATGTGGGTCTCCATTTTTTTCCGGACTGGACCTTGAACACTTGAGCCAGGTCCTTGTGTCGTGCTTTCCGTTTTTCAAAAGGGAGACGGACGGGTAGCTGACACGCTGGGTATGTTTCTTGGAGACGTGTCTGGTTGTTGAGTTGTGTTTTCCGTTTCAGGTGCAAGGGTATGGCTGAGAAGTCTTAGATCGAGCTCACCAATTGAAGGAACCTCCACACTTTTCCACTGCGCACTTCCTGGTGTGTAAATGAAGGTCCTGGAGATATGAGCTTTTTGAGTCGGGGGGTGTGCCGCCCTTGACGCGCAGCTTAGGAGAGCTGGCAGTGCAAATCGAGAAGGAGGTCTACAAGTTCAACAAGCTTCTGGGTCTACGAAGCTTGGCTGATCTTTGCTCCGACCTTCGCCCCCTGGCACCCCTGTTTTGTTCATTGCTGAAAGCATCTTAGTTCGACCGGACTTGCTTTTTCATTGGTTTCCTTGCAAACCGAGGAACCCGTCTCCTCACCTAGGTCCCCCAGTAGTGCCCTCCTCTCCCCTTTTTTGGGGCAGGCTTCCCCTACTAAAATCGACTACCGAAAAAGACAAAAATGATCGGGTACCCTTATTCGAACTTCTCTACTGGAGGACCTAGTCACGCCTTCACACCATGTGCTCTCGTTTTGCTGGGGAGCCGAGGAAGCACCACCTTCGCGGGAGGCCTCTCCAAGTATCAGCAATTCCGAGCCATCAAAGGCGCGACCGCCGTTGGCGGCTCAAGGCGAAGCCCAAAACGGGCTGAACCGCCGCATGCGAATATCCCACTCGTGTTCATGGACTTGAAGCTGTTTGGGGTTGGACCATTTGAATGGTAAACGGACAAATTAGCCTTTTCTGTTTCTTTCCAATCCACTCAAGTGACTTTTACTTGAAGATTCACTTCCAGTCTTCGTTGTTTGCGTCACTCAAGGTCGGCCAGTGGAGGTTTCAGGAAGTTTGAGCAAGGGAGCCACAGGTCTGCCTTCTTCCAACCTTTTGGGGACCTGAGCCCACTTCCCATTGACTTTTTGGTTGTCTTGGTAGTTGACCCCCCCTCTCTCGTTTAGCCCAAATTGCGGGGCACCTCTCAGCGTCCAAGCTAATTCAGGCCACCAACTCGAAGGAACCTGACAAGATTTCCGAGTGCACGCGAGAAAGACAGGCGGCAGCGAGATCGTGATCGCAACTCCAGGACGCCTCATTGACATTGTGAAGATGAAGGCCGGATCGCTGTGGAGCTGTCTCAGGGCTGTGCAAGCCTAACTTTTCTGTTCTGTGGTTGTTGTTTGGATGGAGTGGGGGTTTGCTGTGGTGCGGGGGGTGGGGTCTTTTTCAGAAGGGCTTCGATCTTTTGCGCGGATCGTTCCAGTGGCAAACTTGTACCACCACTGTGGCGCTCCCTTGAACAAGTGCAATGATTTCAGAGCAGAACGATGGGAGTCTGAAATCCACCCCTGAAACGTGCAAAGGAAAAAGGCGATGATGTGTTTCGCCGTTCGCAGCCTATTGTTCACATGCAAATGAACATGGAGCCTGAGTTCCGAGCAGTTTCAGACGAGACTCTTTTTTGTGGAGGCGTCATCCTGGCTATTGAGCAAGGACCCCACTAGCATCTCTACTTTTCTTTTGCTTGATGTTTGACCCCGGAAGCCATCAGGAACGAAGCAACATCCTTGCACCCCCCTATCTAGACTGCTATTGGTTGGATCTTGAGACTTTAACTTTTTTGGAAAATCAAGGGTTTTCCATTCAACCCCCAAAAAGTTAAACTTTTTGCAGGGGGGTTAACAGCAACCAAGAAAGCCAACTCCTTGTAGCACCTAGCCACCTAGCGCTCAAGCCGCTTCTGTCCGAAGCCGAGGGCTGCAACTTGCAGCGCTGCACCTTTCTGGTCTTGGACGAAGCGGACCGCATGCTGCAGATGGGCTTCGAGGATGCGGAAAACCGGGGATATGGCTGTGGGTCAAAACCGTTTTGGTACCATTTTGGGCCAGGTGCACCACCCATTCTAGAACCTATTTTAGTGGGGAATAAAAGCAAGTTGTTCAAGCAAGTTTGTATGGAATAAAAACCAACGCTCATTTGGCTGTGGGTCAAAACCAAGGGGATCCCATTTCGGGGTAGGTGCACCACCCATTTTAGTTTATTTTAGTGGGGAGTGGGATGTTCACTGGGGGTACGATTTGGGTTTTGACCATGGCCATATGAGGGATGCGGAACCGGATGGTTTCCCGGGGTCCTGCTGTGGATGGCTGCGAAATCCAGACGTGGCACCTAAGAAACTCGGGTTTCTGATTTGGTTCCCCAACGGCAAATGCCAAGAAACCATGGTTTTGAACCAGGGTCACAGTAGGGTGCGTCTGGTTTTTTTTTCCGTTGCAGGTGGCTTGGTTGCCGGTTTCAGTTCCGTTTCTCGTGATCTTGTAGGGTCCCGTCTTGGACCGCTGCCAGGACCAGATCCGCTCCGTTCTGCAGAACGTGCGGCCGAAGCGACAGGCTGCTCTGGCGCCCGAGACGTTGGGATGGACCCGCCGGACCCAGAAAGCACCGGAAGCCCTCACCCCTGGGTTTCGTCAAGGACGGCATTGAAAGACTGGCTGGGTTAATATGAACCCTTTGCAGGCGTCTTCAAGTCACATTTGGGGTGCAGAAGTCATTTTCACATGCCTTTGTTGAGTCTCACTCACGCGAGCGTCGTCCAAAAACCCATGCTTTCTTCTTAGTATCCGAGTAGCATGTCTGATTTGTTGGGGCTGCATTGCTGCGGCAACAGCACAGCGAAAGATCGGCCAAAGGTCATGGCTTATGTTTGTTCATGTTGGATTACGTTTGTTCATGTTGGATTACGTTGATTCATTGATGTGATGCAAAACTCGAATCGAGCCTGTCCGGGCCCTACCCGCTTCTTCGCGGGGGCTGCGTAGTTCTTCTTGCAATGTTTGGCCTGCCCAGGCTGGTGTCATGCTGGGTCTTGTCGAAACACCTAAACAAAAGCACATAGATGCTCACTCATTGAACTCCTGTGATGCGTGCATACTTAGTACGGTTCCTGGGTTGGCTCGTTAGCAACCAGGGCGTGAACTTGGGGGTTTCTAACCACCTAATGAATGGTCGACCCTACATTAATAGATCCATCCTACCAGGAGCGGGGGGTGTTATCCCTTTACAAGTCATGACCCCCCTCGTACCACTAAAAGGGTGACATCCCAGCAACAACCAGGGATTTTGATTCTGGCGTTCCCAAACTAGCCTGGTCCACTGGGAGAACGCAGCCCGAACGTGCAGACAGATGCCCAGCCTGTGCGGCCATGCAGGAGGAGTCAGGGTTCAGGAAATAAAGAACAATCCCTGAAACTCCGAACGACAATCGTATCGAAACAAGGATTCACAATGCTTTTGCAACTTGGATTTGTATTTTTATCGCTTGGGATTTCAGAGGGGGGGTTGAAGGGAAGGTCATCGCTAAATTGAAGGGTTTTGAAGGGGTGAAACAACTCCAAGTGGAGAGTCGTCTTGTGAGGAGCCTCTTGCGGGAGCAGGTTTGCATTCCCAGATATACTACTCAGGTCCCAGCATGAAGCTATAATCAGGTTACCCTTGTTTTGCTAGAGGGTAGATGGGAAGCCACCCCTTGACCACCAAACCATCGGGCTCCACGCCCCAATTGGAGGGAAGCTGATGCAAAACCACTACACCAATGGAGAGTTCACGTCGCCTCCATGGTTTGCCTTTCCATTGTTTCTGGGAGAAATAAGCAGCCCCCGTGGTAGTGCAGAAACCCTCGTCAAGGGAGGCTGTTCATTTCATTGGAAAAGGCAAACCCTGGCCTCCGCCGCACGGCAGGCCCTGCTGTTCTCCGCCACCATGCCTCCACGTATCGAGCGCCTGGCTGCGGACTTCCTGAACCAGCCCGTGAGGATCACGGCCGGGCGGGCGTTTTTTGGGGGAAGCGGGGCCGCGACATCCCAAGCTTCCCGGTGGTTTGGTGGTGTAGAGCCGAATCGGTCCGGCTGGTACTACTCCATCCAAAGAGGGCCCATTGTGGCGCAACTTTGCTTGCTCATGCCCAGGCTTTGGGGGTGATGAGGCCAGGGTTATGGCGCACTTCCTGGTGTGTGTTTTTCCTCTTTTTGCAGACATCCAATCCCATGCACACCATGCGCTCAGGAAAATGGGAGTTACATCGATAAGGCAGGAAACTGGGAGAAATGGTGGACATCATGTAATCACTGGGATAAAACAAAAAGTGTACCCTATGCTTCCTCGACTATTCTTTAAATAGCCTCGACCATTTAAAAAAACGAAAGGCTATAAAAGTAATGTCCCTCGACCATTAAAAGTAGGTCTGGACAAACTTGGCCAACTTGAGACGGCTGGCTCCTGACATCCCCGCGCGCTTCTGATAGTGAGAGGTTGACGAAATTATTGCTGCCTTTTGTGAAATAAGCTAAGTATGTTTTAAAGTCGCTGCATCCCGTTGCAATCACACGTCGTCACCATGCTGTGTCATTTTGGCTTGTCACTCACATGCCCGTGCGTGCTTTTCCGCTTCTTGTCCACAGCTCCACAGAGTCTGATCGAGTGTCGTTTGTTGATTGTTTAATCGATTTCGAAAGAACATGAGGCGTGGACAAACCATGGACAAACCGTGGAAAGTACGTTTTTTAGCGTGGACAACCATACTCCCAGGAGCCCACAATGCATGCCTGATCGGCAGCGATGCCCCAAAGCTACTAAGTTTGCAGCATTTTTGAAAAAAGCCGGACTTCAGTACCAACATGCGAAGAATCTATGCGCGCATATACGGTAAGCGGGACACCTGGCGATTTTGAAAAGTGATATAACCATACAATTGGCAAGCCGGGGAATGAGTGGCTTGGGCGCAGTCATTTGCAGCTGGGAGGATGAGGGCGGCATGACTGTCAGCGACCTGACCCTAAGCAATTCTTGGGCAACAAACACCATGATTTCTTGGATATTCAGGGCCAGGCGCAAAAAACGGTCTTTCGGCAAAAAACAGTCTAGCGACCTCGACTATTCTTTTAATGGCCTTTGGAAGCCTAGGGTGTACATTGGAATCACATTTGCTCTCAAGAACCAGGGTTACCTGGAGCCAGGTGATTCGGAGCCGAATCGGTGGTTTGGTGGTTTGGTGGTTTGGTGGTTTGGTGGTTTGGTGGTTTGGTGGAGGGGTTTCCCATTTACTTCCCAACAAGATCCAGGGGTTCAAATCCAAATTCAAATCACCAATTCCAATCCACCAAATACAGGAAAATTGTGTATCCCAGAGCTTCGCCAGACCATCGGCGGGTTGCTCTTTTGATTCTGTTTTGCATGGAGGGCTTCCTTTATAATCAAGTGCGAAACAAAAACAAAAAACAACGCGAGAAGGACAACAAAATATGGGCGAGCCAAAGGCCAAGCAAGCCACTAGTTTAATGTGCTGAGATGGGTCCCAGTCTACTTTTCCCCGGGCTTATGTGGCTTCCTTTTTTCTTTTGATCCGCTCGTAGGCGTTTGCCACCCGAAACCTTAGGAGCCTCCCCCTGTCCGCTAACCACCGGCAACCACTTGCACTTGATTTGCAGTGTTGATCATGGCTAGGAGGTGCCACACGAGTGACAGCTCGTGACCCTTAGATGATCTTAGATGCTATTCCAGGGGAGCTAACTGTAGCTGGATTATGTGAGGGGTCAGCACTAGTGAGTCCTTGCCCCGAATAGTTGCATGAACATTGAATCTTGAAGCTATATAGTATGTTTCATTCCGGGCATCTTGGGTTGGAGACAAGCGAATCCTCAACCAAGAAGCGTAACCTTTCATGTCCGCTTGTTTTAGACACATGTTTAGAGGTGAATCTTCAGAAAATGACTCAACCACGACAGGCGGCTTCGTAACAGCTCTTCATTCTTCATTGCTTGGCCAGGTGGGAACAGCAGGCCAAGCTGCCGCCAACGTGAAGCAGCACGCCTTTCGGCAGCACGACAAGTTGTCAAGCCCAGCGCCTATAGTTGTAGCGTGCCGTTGGCTCTAAGGCAATGTTCAATCAGGGGTCCATTTCCCTTTTTGGAGCCTCCAAAAGTGGCAACGCCCATGAAACGCACCAATAAATTGCAAGCTTTGAAGGGGAAATCCAGTGACGCCTGTTTGTCCTTGCCTTGAGTCCGCTAGGGTCGCCTTGGTGGTTTTCGGTTTAAAGGCCAACTTACTCCAAACTCAATGGACAGACGACACCTGCATAGGGATGGTTGTTTGGGGGCATGTTCCCTGAATACCTCATGTATAGACTGTATAGACACTAAACCTGGTGGCCCGTAGATTATTTCTAGGAGTTTAAGTTTAGATAGAGGATTAGGATTGCGCAACCCTCCGACAAAGACACCTCTCAGCCCTGACTTTCAAAGCGCCTTGCACATTTGACCTGTTGGTGAGCAGGTAGGTCCGAAAGATGAATCAAGAACCCAGTGACAAGGACACGATTGACAGTTCCCACGGGGATGACCTGCGTTTCATTCGGTCCGGGTCCGAACCTGGACGAACCTTGCCATTTCAGGTGAGCCACACTCCAATTTGGTGCATGTCGCATAGCGACGCACCAGCCCATTGCCCCGAAAGAGGACCGACACCCACCGTTGAAAACAACAATTTCTTTGGCTTTGCGTTCCCGGCTTGCCATCGCTCTACTGATTTTGGTGCCAGGGTTTTGCGCTAGCCCTGGTGCTACCTTTTGGTGTGATCGTTTCAGTTGTTGCTTTTGCTTGGTAAAACAAAAGCGTTTTGCTTGTTCCCCGACATTTTTGGGTCTCTCCCAAACCCCTTTCCAGCACTCAAAGTGCATAAAGGGACGTTTTAAGATGAAAGGCCCTCATATCCAGGGTCGCGGGTAGGGGAAATACCGCGACTGGGTTTCTTTGGGCCGGGGGCACCCCTGTGAGATGTTCAGGTGGAGGTCTTCGACACAGAAGAAGAGAAGTTCCCCTGGCTGAAGACGCGGGTGGCGGCGATGCTTTCGAAGGGTCAAGTGGTGGTCTTCGCCAAGTCCAAGCAGGCGGCTCAGGAGATCCGGGGGTGGGGGCGGTTTCGCGGCGCGGTTCTGACCATTTCAGCCATACAGCGGGTCTTATTTGAGGTGTTTGCAACTGTTCATGGAACTACCCTTTTGGTATTATATGTATTTGGTTGTATGTGATGTTTGGAGTTGGTACTTGTTCTCTTGACAAGGCTCCAAATGTCCGATTCTCCCACCATTCCTGTCAATTCCTCTTTTCAAGCACCAGCCATTTGCTCGGCTTGGCTGTTGTTGTTTGGCAACTAGGGTGTCCGTCAGAAACCCGAGCAAAAACTGCTGTGGCTTGGAGAGGTCCAGTTCTGAGAAGCACAGCTTGAATTTCTTGCAATGCCGCTCACATCAAGTTCAAACCGAATCTTTCTTCAATGGGGCATGTGGGCGGAGCGCCCGTGCCTCAGAACCGTTGTTTCAACAAGCCATGTGCGGTCACCCAAGGTAGTTCCGCTCGATAAAATTCCGTGGCGATACAAGAGGGGTTGCGACAGACAAGCCATGATGAAGGTTACATGTGGAATGTGCGGTCGGCGATGTTGTTTGCCCGCACGGCTGGCGTTTGGTGGATCGGGTTCCTTGCTGTACTGTTGAATTGTCCGGTACGGTGCTGCTTTGCCCAGGAACCCACTCAGGCCACCATCTCGATGTCGTTTGGTGGCTCCGGTGATCTCCCCTGCGATTTCCCATTGAAGCTCCACATGATGTGGTTTTCTACTTTTGCTCCTTCTGCTCAGCTCAGAGGGGAAGACCCGCTCAAATGGCTGTGGGTCAAAACCAATGGTACCATTTTGGGGTAGGTGCACCACCCACTTTAGTCTATTTCAGTGGGGACTATGGGCTTCTGACCCATGGTCAACTGTCTTCAGGATCTTCAGAAGAAGTTCGCGGACGTGCAGAGAGATGCCGCGGTCTTGCATGGAGATCTGGAGCAGGACGAGCGCATGCGGGTCATCGACGGGTTCCGGAAACTGCGTCAGAGCCTGGCATCATGTGATCGGTCCACATGTCCTGCCCGTTTCTGGGGTCTCCTGTGGGTTCTTGGTGGCTCCCAGCCATCCCCTTAGCTTTTTAGCCTTTTAGTGTTTAGTGGTAGTTTCCATTTAACCCACTAAAAGTTAAACTTTTAACGGGGGATCTGAGAGCAGCCCAGGGTTTGTCTCTAAATGAGGGATATGGGGGAGCTCCAAGTTGTCCCAAGTGAGTGCTTTCCATTTGGTTCCCTTGACAATCCCCAATTGGGTCTCCAAAGTGAAAGTGTTGCTGTTTCGGTTGAAATGCGAAACATTCAGAACATTTTGAAGGTGCCTCAGACTTGAACCATGGGAGATTCGCAAACCATGCCCTTTGCACGCAGGGAACGCCTTTTTGGGACGATACATTAATTGATCCCGGCATCCCACCCACCTCTCTCTTTGATTTATCCGGTGCAAATCACCCAGTCGCGCTTGTACTCTTGGAAATCCTTGGGCCAATGAAATGTGTTTCCCAAGTTTCCTCAAGGGATGTGGTGCGCTGCCTGATATGATGGAGCTTCCGGCTCGATCCAGCGCCGACCTTTTGTCAAATGTTCACCTCTGGCGTGCCCAGATTCGGTATATCACTCATGGTATCTCATGGTCATGTTGACGTTGTCAGTTTGCCAGTCGTCCTTGTACAGGCTAGATTAGCAACGCATTGTTTCACTTGTCTTGTCACCAACCTTCGGAAGAAGCCTTTGCCTTGACTATCCGATCGAAAACGAAAGCCATTTCGAGTAAGGAACCTTCTGATCGCCACCGACGTGGCCGCCAGAGGGCTGGACATCACCACCATCAGCACCGTGGTCTCCTTCGATGTTGCCCGCGACATCGAGACACACACTCACCGCCACTCGCCCTAGCACTGCATAGCTTACCTCACATTACACGGCAAGAGAAGCTATTGAGCTCACAATGCTGACGACCCCTGTATTGGGGCTTCCTTAATTCAGGTGTCAGATGTCTTGTAGAAAGTTCTGATATGGCCATGGGTCAAAAGCGTGTATCCCAATCAACATCCGAATCCCCACTAAAATAGACTAAAATGGGTGGTGCACCTACCCCAAAATGGTACCAAAACGGTTTGCACCCACAGCCATATGATGGCCCTACACCGGGGGCGAACACCGGGGTCCCCACGGCGAGGAGTTGGCCGGACCGGGCGAGCCGGTGCGGCTGGGGAAGCCTTCGCGCTGCTTAGCACGGAGGCCATTCGGATGGACCAAATCCATTTCGCACCACTTTGAATTGAGGGAAACCAGCGGTCTTTTGGTATTTACACGGGAATCAATGTTCCCGGGTGTCTTAGGTGGCGTCCATCCACAAGAAGCTGCGGTCGTGGCCTTTGAAAGGGAACTTCCATGGCAATTTGCAGCTTGGGGCCAAGTCCCGACCCACCGAATTTTGATGGGCCTCAAATTGAAATCCATGCCGAAATGCCGGGTTTTTCCTTGAATTTTCATAGCACCCAAGGGCTCCGAATCGTGCTATCAATAAATGACAGAACCCACACGCTTCACATTGGCGTTAGCGTCAGTATCCCCCACTTGAGAAGCGCGCCACCTTGGGATGTACCCTCTTGTGAACTGATGGGTTTGCAAGAAGCGGTGGCCCTTTTTGGGGCGTTCCTTGAAAGGTGGCACAAGCGAAGCACGTGTGTTTGCTGTTTTGGTCAGTTGGACGTCCCAGGAATGCCTACTGGTTGTCTTTCTTGTGCTTCCTCAGGGGTGCTTGAAATACTCGGACCCCGGGAAGCCAAAAGAACAGTCATGCTGTGAGCAATGCTTTTTGAATTCCCAGAGGCGAAGAAGGGGAAGGGCGAGGCGAACCCCAAGCGCATGGCCGCGTTGCTGGTGGAGCACTTGGAGGCGATTCAGCTCCGGGAATCGGATCTTGTTTTCAGATCCAGAGCTGCATGACCTTTCCATTTCAAAACAAATGGTCCTATAGTCATGACCCACATTGTATGGATACTAATATTGGTATATCTATACATGTTTATGTATGTGTACATACATACTAATTCGTGTGTGTGTGTGCTTTCTGGGCAAACCCTTTTCCGCTTGGTGTTGAGAAAAACCCAATGAGAAACCACCAGTTTTGGGGTCTTTCTACGTCGGACTCATACCCAGAAGGAGTAAACAAGCCATTCCCAGTACCCGGGTCCCAACTTGCCTGCTGTCCCAAAAGTAGTGGTTGGGGACCTGAGTGCTGGAGGCCGTCCCTTCCCACAGCGAGGACAAGCAAAAGCTCAAAACGGGAGCAAAGGGGCGCATGGATTTCGTGTGCTCAGAACCCACCTGTTGCAGGTGATTTACTCCAGTATTCGGCTCAGGTTTTATCCATAGCTGGCGCCGATCGGTATGGATTTTGTCCACCCAGAGGCTCCTGGGGCTTTCAATGTCCATTAGACACCCCGGGAATTGGTGGTTGGGGGGTCTCAAAAATCGAATTGGAGCCTCTGGGAAGAACACGGCAGGATGTGGCGCAGAAGCCCAGCGCCAAGTTGCTGGCGGTGGCCATGGACTTCCATCCCTTCAAGGCGGCCCGCGCGGCCGGCCTGCGCTTGGAGGACGTGGCTGTGGAGAAGGGCAAGGGCAAAGGCGGGAGAGGGGGCCTGACAGGGGACCCGACGTTCGGGGCCCGGTCCCTGGAAAGGGAAGATATGGTCCAAACCAGGACGTTCGGGGCGTCAGGTTCCACGTTCATTGGTGGGAGGGTATCCCTGTTTGGGCCGAAGAAGCTAAAGTTCCGACAAGATGCCAACATGCTAAGCTTCGCGAACTATGGATGAGCAAGAATGAAATTAGTTGTCCCATGTGCCGCCCGCAGCGCCTTCAGGCAAAGCCAAGAAGGGCAAAGCCAAAGAGGACACCGAGGGCGAGCGGGATCGCTCGCGCTCGCGGCCGCCTGAGTGAGCCGGCTTTGGGGTCCAAAAGCTGCGCGCAGCGCTGCGCGTTTTCAGCACGCGGTTCCGGGTGGTCGTTTTTCAGTTCCCCCTCAACATAGACCCGAGAAGGGAAGGCAAAGCAAAAAGACAAACAAACCCAAGTCTCCCCTTTCATGCTGGGGTTACCCGTGTTGCGCTGCCTTCCTGGATAAGATACGTGGCTACCCAAACACGTGTAGGAGCCTTTTGGGAGGTATGCCGAACGTGGCCCAAAAACGTCAGAAGGGCCATCCGGTTGCCATCCTGTTCCGGGCTCCAAAGAACAATTCGATCAGAACCCAGATTGGTAGCCTTCTGGTTGCTTCACGGCGCGTGCATTGCTTTGGGGAAGGGCTACCTATTTTTCAACTATTGGATTGAAGCATCGTTTGGATCTTCGGTGTGTGTTGCCAAACACCATGATCTACTGTTTGGTAGGGTGTTTCAAGGGGAAGTATCGGGAACCCTGAAGCCGGCCTTTAGCAGTGCACGTGGCAAGGTTGGGACGACTTGCTGTAGATGGGCAGAATCAGCACCGGTAGATGGTTTATCCCAGTGTTCAGATCTGTTACTATCCGTGGTGCAGATTTGTGTCCATCCGCCGTTCGACCGAGAATGTGACTAATCCCTTTCGAACCCGTCCAAAATCGTGGCATGACGCTTTTGCTTTGGAGGCCCAAGCGGACAGCTGAATGTATAAGTCCATCTATGACCCCATGGCCATATCGGACCCATTGGGGGGATGATGTCCCACAAACAAGCCAACTAACGGTTAAAGGACCCAGGTATACACTCAACTCGGGAGTTGGAAGAGTGAGTGCCAAATAAGAAAGTGGAAGGTGAAGGGCGCCCAATGCTCCTTGGCCCATGTGGGGATTAGTCAATATTCCTTGCACCCAAATGGCCATGGGTAGCTTTTCCCCCATTTCGTGGGAGGGAAGTCATCCTTTCTGCTGGTTTCCCTAAAGGTCACCCCATGTGCGGCCGAGCTTTAGCAGCGCCTTCGCAGCTCCTGGCTCAAAGCAGCCCAACTCTTTGCTTGCAGCTCAGCCCGCGCATCGGCAAGCCGCAGTTCCCTGCCAATTTGCTTTACCCAGGGCGAATTCGTTTGCGAAAGGGACCCAGTCGGATTCAATTCCAAGCAGCTTTACCCAGGGCAAAGTCCGGCAGTCGCAAATTCATTTGCAAAAACAGGGCCCAGTGAGCTTCGATTCGATTCGCATCGCACCCCCGATTCTTACGAGAGTCGCACGCGTTTCGGCGGCCGACCGGCGAAGCGCCGTTCTTTTCCCGCGAGTCCAAGGCTGCCAGCCTGGGACTCCTTTTTGCTCCTGGTGGATCCCAAACCGAAGCTGCGACTTAGGAGTTGAAATCGGAGGGCAAGCAGACTCCATCAGGTGAGTGTCTCAACTTAGGCCAAGGACGTCGGACCACAGCTATCTTTTCGCATTTTTTTGCGCCACTTGGGCGTGTTGATCTCGCGATCTCGACTCGCTCATTTGGAATCCACCGGGGTTATGGCGCTGACCTTCGCCATGGTTGAGCCGCAGCGGCTGGTCTTCGCGCTCTTCTGCCTGCTGGTTCCTGTGTTCATGGCCTACAATGGTGTCTTGGACACCTGAACCTGGACTGGTCAAAATCAATCTGGTAGTTGCCCTTACAGTGTTTTCCTGTAATCAATCTTGGTAGTAGTTGCCCTTATGGTGTTTTCTTGCCAGGAATGGGGACTCCCCAATCTTGAACTGGTCGAAATAAAACTTCAATCCTCATGCCTAAATGGCAGTAGTTGCCCTTATGGTGTTTTCTTGCCACGGATCACCCATGACTGGGGACTCCCCAATCTTGAACAACCCAGTGGACCGATTCCGTCAACGCGCCCCCCAACAGTTTTTGTGCGCTGAACAAATTGAGGCGGCGCTACCGCAGCGACGGTGGACACCATCCAGCGGGAAGAACAGTGGAGCCCTGCGGGCATCGGGCGGCTCGAAGGCTAATTGTGTCTTCCCAATTCGGGGTTGGAGGTACTTTGTGCCATGTTGGAAAACGCAAGGAAATCAAGAAGCCAGACACCAAGAAAACCCAAAAGAACCCCAGGAAACCCAGGAGGAATCCCCACAAAGGGACCCCCGATTGACAACTTGGGGGGGGGGTTATCAATCGAGGGTGGACATGAGATCTTTAGCCCTTTTCAACCCCTCAAACATCATGCCTCCAGCAGGCCTTCTGAATCCTTCAGAAGCTTGCCTTGGATTTCCTTAATTTTTCAGGGGTCGCCCGGCACCAACTTGTCTGGACGTACAGTTGCTGTGTTTAATTGGATCTTACCACTAAACTGCAAGTCGTGAAGGGGAAACTCATTGACCCTAGGTGGTGTGGGCCCACTGAAGTGAACCTTTTGTTGGGAGTGGGCAATACATCTCAGCGTAGTGAAGCTTGGACCTTCCAGCTGCGCCTTTGTTCTGCTCTTTCGCGAAAGATGCGAACAGGCAGAAACGTAGCCGCCTTTCATTGTGCTCGCCTATGGGAAGCTCATGTTCAAGATTGCTATGACCTGGTCCAATCGCCAATCATTTGTCCAGGCTTGAAGCCCAAGGTTCGCGCGCTTGCAACTCAAGAGTGCTTTCCTTTTTGAAGCTGTCAAGCCCATATTTAACCTGTATTTTCGCTATTGTAGTCTGACAAAACTCCTGTTTAATGTTTGGTTCGATCCCTTTGTTTTTGTAGGTGTTTTGTTCGTCACATGTGTTGCCCTCCAGCTCTTGGGGGGGGCAGCGGCGGAATTGTTATGTCCAGATAGGGACTCAGAATTTACAGATCTTTCTTGCAAGCCTTGCCCTTTTCAGCCTGAGACGCTTTGTGTTGGTGTTTCCTGATAGCAAATGGCTGGTGTTTGCGCTCTAGGCGTTTTTTTCCCGGGGGGTCGGGACGAGGGAACGAAACTGACCATGATGCTCAGGCTGCTGGGAGCTATGGACAAGCTCGGAATGACGCGGCCTGGCATAATCGATCAAAGACGGATGGCATCCCGAACCGCCACAATAGGTTTGATTTGAAGCCTTCGATCAGAAGCCTCTAACTTTATGGGCTATATTTGGTTGGATCTTTCGGCTGGAACTTGTTTTGCGCAAACAATGGATTTGTCATTGCACAAACCAAAAACCGAGACACTTTTGGCAGAGGGGTCAACAGCAAGCACTGCATTTTCATTGCGCCCACAAAAAATCGAGAAGCTTTGTTGCAGAGGAGGCAACAGCAATCTGAGATAAGGTACGAGTCTTTTCAGGAGGCCTTTGGCTTCCTACGGGGCTCTGCACGATGCTCAAGCTACAAACCCGGAGCCCCAAAGACCCGCCCGGCCAATCCTATATGTGCAGTGACATTTGTCTGTCTACCTCAGGTCGGTAAAAGCACGTGATTTGACTTGAGTGCTTGAACTCTTGGACACAACGGGATCAAGTTTCAAGTTTGAGCACCATGTGAAAAGCACGGGTAAATACTGAAAACCCAACTCTTCGAACATGTTTTTAGGTGGCAAAATCTCGATGCCTTCGAAACCACAAAGCCGAGCTCAGGATTGCCGCAGCATTCTGGGGAGCCTGGGCTGCAAGACGTGAGCGACACTTTTAATTCCCTGCCTGCGTGTAGAAGCGGCGAAACAGTTAGCAGTGGGTACTTGGGCACCCCTTTGTAGAGCGATACCATTGAAATCCAAAGGAAAATCCGGCACCCCTTTGTAGGGCAATATCATTCAAATCCAAAGGAAAGTCCGTCTGGTATGTTGGTTTCAAGGTACCCAACTCCGTTTGACAGCCATCACTTTTTTTTTGGGTACGCTCTTTTGGCTACCTGCTGTACGGTCTGGTCAAAACAAGTCAAAGCGGCCTTTCTCGCGAGGTTTCTGATAAAGAATGTTGCCGGACCTAGCAATTTTGGTGATCTGCAAGGGTATCCCAACCATGAAACAACGAGACATGCCACAGGAAGGCTCGGGGGAAAAAAAAACAAAAACAAAAGTGCTGGGGACACGGACTCCCCTGACCAAACCTGAGAAACAAGTTCCTGGGACACGAGCCCCCTGGAGTTGTGGCCGTGGCTCGGCGTGCGCTCTCGGCGGTCCCAGGCTATATGCTACAGCGCTGTGACGCCAAGACCTTACTCTGCACAGGACTGGACATCGGGCTGCGAGTGGCATGGGCGTGTCTAGTTTTAGGATCCTCCCCCCCCCCACCCAAAAAAGAGAAAACAAACAGCAACACATACATGTATGTGTATATATATATATATATATCTATATTTATTATAGTGTATATATACATATATCTATATATATATATATATATTTGTGGTTGTCCATTCGGCTTTCCTTTAAAACACCAACTTAAAATTGGTTTTCCTTTAAAACATCAACAACCAAGGATGCCTTTTAAGCACACGCACATGGAGCCTCTGAAATGCGGCTCGACAAAAGGAGGAGGCGCCAGGTGACAGAGCCCAATGTTTCAAACTAAAAGGATGAGCACAAAAGGCAAACCAAAGAGGATACATTTGCAGAACCAATGTGAAGGCGCCTTTTACTTGGGGTTCCCCTACTTCAGATGTTTTGAATTGAGTGAGTTTTCTAGCCGTACCTTCCCCAATCTTTACAATGATCCTTCTCTTTAAACAATTGGGCTCTTCAACCCCCTGAGAAAACAGGTAGTTTCATGTTAGTTTCGAAGGAGCAAATGAATTCGGACTCAACTCTTAGAACTTTCGCAGTAGCATGATTGTCATGATTCCCATTCGAAGGCCAATCCTTCCTCAACCCGCAGAACCCCTATGGAAACCGAGCATCAAAGCAACCGCCGTTCCCTCCAACCATTTCTTCCATTTGCTCAATAATATGTTCCATTTTCCCATGCTGGCTTGAGAGATGGACTCGATTGCACTGCTAGAAATCTGTGTCTTTTCACTGCAACTTCAGCCGATGTTCCGGGTTTCCATGTTGCCTCCATCCGCGCGTTTTTCGGGCGGGAGAATCGGCCGTGAATCGGTCGAGAGGCCTGCTGACCAACGCGGGCTCCACCATGGCCTTCGGCACCTTGCGGAATCCCGTGGCCATGACCGTGGCCAAGCTGCTGCCGCTCGAGCGAGCGAGTCACGAGCCACGGAGCTCCCGGGGCTCTAAGGCGGGGGGTGGTTTGCACGTAATCTGCGTTGCCCATTGGGCAAGGGAGCTTTAGACTGCTACTCGTGTTGGTTGAAATTGAGCCCTTGTTGCAGAGGGGTCAACAGCAACCTAGAAATGCACCAGGCTGAATAGTGGCTTGCAACTTATAGTTGCTCCTATCATGACTAAAGCTGGAAGATTGAAGGTACCCCAAAACCCCCAAGTCCAATTGTGAAGCTCCCTTTCATTTGTTATACAAGGTCCCGGGGCCAGCCGCGAAATCACCTAAATACCAGCTGCTGCAGAGGGTTCCCTTGTAAAGCAGGTGGTCCTTTGCATCCTTTCAGGAACCTATTGAACCCCAAGACTAATGCCAACTCATAGGAAAAATGCGCATGAACCGCCAGCCACAGTTTTTGGGTTTGATTATACGCGGGCGGTTCGCATGATTCACTGGTTGGAGCCGGGGTCGTTACAGCAACCAAGCCCAGATCCTTACCGGCGTTTCTTCTGTTCATGTTCCCCTCACATGCGCCACGGTGATTTGCGCACACTGGACTCCTGGAGGGGAGACTTTGAAGAGACTGGGGGAAAGCTGACTTTTGGTATCAACAAGTGGTTGCCACAACTGCGGCTGCCCTTCCAAATCGGTACATTGCCCTTTTTACATCCCTTGACTGTTGTTGGCATGGTTTTAGGTTTTAGGTTGTTTGGTTCTATTCAATTTAGTAGGGGGCTGCAAAGAAGATGCGTTTCTTGCTTCCATACCAAGTACAGATCCTGATGTGGTAGGGCTACGAAAGATCCTATGCCGGGCCCCATGTGGCCCTTTCTCATGCATGTCACCAGGATGGAAGCATGAAGGGTACCACTGGAATTACTCATTTCCTGACTTGATGGACTTTAGTCACTTGGGTTTGGACCATCTTGGCATATCAAGAGTTTGGTTTATTTGTTTGGGCCCTCTCGGGAAGTGAGACTAGACACAGAGATATACAGGGATATGGAAATCCAACTTCTGGCTTCCTGAGTTCTCTTTCGGACTTTGGTCACTTTTTGGGCTTAGACCATTTTAATGGCTTTAGTAAATGGAGTATTAAATTCAAGTCATTTTTTTGGGGGTTAGACCATTTTATCGGCTTCCTTAAAAAAACACGTGGTGTTGACCATTTGAGTGGCTTCATTAAACAATCACGTGGACTGGCGTGTAGTTTGGGCCATCCACTCGCTCAGAGCGTCCGACTTGACTCAGCCAAGGATCGGCTTCACGGAGAGCCTCCAGTGGGTCTGGGCGCCTCTCTGGATCGGTCAGTGGGCCCCGCCTGCCTTGCTGCCTATCTGGATGAACCTGTCAGGCGATGGGTCGCTCTGGTCGCTCTGGTCGGTCTGGTCGTGTTGCTGTTGCTCCCACACCACTGGAGCCCACAACCACCCCACTGCAGACACACCCAACTCTGCACAGACCCACCCACTGCAGACATGCAACTGCGCACAGACCTACCCCAGTGGGGCCCAGACCAACTATAGACACCCAACTGTACATGACCCATTGACACACAACTGCCAGTAGGTATATAGGGAATGATAATTGGAATGCAGCGTTGGGAATGGATTCCCTGAAAGGGAACCAAATCGGGGATGGTGAGTTTTAGTGTCAGATAGTCCTAAGGTCAAAAGGAGATTGGTCATGGCTTAGTTTCTCCGGACAGGTTTCAGGTCCTTCTAAAAAATAACCCAGAAAAGAATCAAGCACTTGAAAAGGGAACTGGCAATGGAATTGGCGCGTGCAAAGTAGGGGTTTGGACCCCGAACATGTTGGTGGTTTGCTTGTCAGGCCATCCAGGCACACGCGTGCGGGAAAGCGCTCTTGCAGATTCGCTCTTTCCTGTAAGCTGATGGCAGCAAGCTGCTCGCACGGAAGCCTCGCATGAGCTGGAAAGTTAGGATACGGTAAGTTTTTTCGAACCTCCCACTTCCAACGGTCAATAGCTGTTGTCTTCAGACCTTTGAAGGTAGCAACTTGTAATTCATTGGGCCGTACCTTCGGGTAACAGGGAGCTCTTGCGTTTTTGGACTTGGGATTTTCATGTCTTTGCGCCCGTCCGGTGTTCGGTGTGTCAAACATGCGCTCCATGGCAGGCGGCGGGGTGGCGTCGGGGATTGGAAATGGCTTGGGCAGCTCAGCTGCAGTGGGGCGCCTGTCTAGGGAAGCCTCAGCCCAGAAATCCGGTCGGGGTTGTCCTCAGGAACCTGAAGGCCCACTTTGGCTTTGGGTATGTGTGAGAATGGAGCCCAGCAAAAATGGCAGTTTGCCCTCTGGTGGCCCTTCCAAAATCAACCTGAACAAGAATCCTTCAACAAACGCAAACTCAGACAAGCGATGAATTCATGGCTCATCAATGCAACAAGTGCGGTTTTCCTGATTCCGGATTCGGCAAGTACTCCCAAAGGTGAAAAGGCTACAGGCTCATCGGGGATGGGTGTTACCGGACATTTTCCAACACCTTGTGGCCCTAACAAGGGAACCCACATGCTTCAAAGTAGCCAACTTGGTGGTCGCCCTTTGATTGCTATTGCGTTGGATTTTTAGACTTTAGACTTTTGGACTTTGACTCTTGGGGAATCAAGGGTGTTCCATTGAACCCACAAACAGTTACACTTTGTGCAGAGGAGTCAGCAGCAATCAAGTGTTGTTTCCTTTGCGAGAAAACCAGGAAGGGTACCATGCCCGATACTCAGCTTCCATGTGTTTGAGGCATGCATCATATGGGGTGTTGGATGCTTTGATTTCTGGTTGGAAAAGCGGAGCTTGTTTTCCGACACTTTGGTTGCGAAGAAAGGAAAGAACAAAAAGTGTAGACATACGCATAGAAACACCCCTCTCTTGAAGCGAGCCCTTCAGCCTGAGCCCGCCGCGAGGCACCATCATAGCTGGCTTCACTACGGCACAAGGCTATTCGTACGAGCTGGCGTTCCAGATCGAGGCGTGGTTGTTTGATCCCGATGCTCGCTGACTACTTCTTTTATTTTTTTGATTCGGTGATTCAATCCGTTGGTTCATGTACAGGGGGCTGCTCATGAATATCGGGGCCCTGTTTGATGCACTTTCTCAGGCTTAGTCATGATGTCCGGGGTGGAGTAGAGATACTTTGGCAGTTGGTGCCTCTTGAGCGTGCATCTCCCAACCAGCCAGCCAGCGCCCAGCTTACAGGTGAGCGGCCAGTTGCAGATCTCTCTCGTTTGGGTGTGGTTTAAAATAAATAGGCGACCCAAAGCTGGTGATGGTCCCTTTGGTTTCGCAGTACCACAAAACCACCCTCAAAAAGACACACCCATTTGGAGCAAGCTTGGGTTGGCGCCCATCCTTAAGCAACAGAGAGATGTACCTTTCATAGCGACATGCGCCATGTCTAAAACACCATACGCAAACTCGGGGATGGTTAGGAAGTTCTTGGACCTCCTAAGGGCTTTGACTAACTGCTAGAAAGGTGTCCCATTCAACCACGACTATGGCCCAGAGAAGTGGTCGTGACGATCTGCAAAAGCATCAAACTGCACGGAGGTGCAGTCGTTCTTCGTGCCTATGGCACCCGGAGGCATGTGCAGGAGGCTATATACCTGTTCCTAGATCCTACTGACCCAGATGCGCCCTGAACTCTCCTTTCGATCTAAGCTGATTTCCACCCTCAGCAGGAAAAAGGGCGGTGCATGCATGTCCTTTATATAGTTGCTGCATCGTGGCTGGTCCTCAGCTCCTTAGACCTGTTGGCAACAAATTGCTGTTCCATTAAACCTGCAAAAGGTCATCGAGCTTTTCTCCTTGTTGCTCAGGGAGAAGAGCAACCCAGGCATATCCCCCCGTAGCCCTGGTTGTTATTTGGGGTTGGGGACCACCGATTTGCCCTCAGGCATCCGTGCTTTTTGCGCTCCTGGTGGCGTTGCTGGGAACCAGTGCCCAGCGGTTGATCATTCACAGTCCGTTGGCCACTTGGATTTGATCTCAGTTCCCGGTCCAACATTCAGCTCCAAATGGGTGGTTTGGAGCCCCCCTTAGGGGCTGTCTTCCCGCTTTGGTTTCAAAGGGATTGAACTGGTGTTCGAATCCCAAACCCAATCCAAGCGACCAACTAAGACGTAATAGAAAAGTGGCAACACCTGGCTTGGTCTCCAAATTCAGGGCATGCAAGATGGGTGATTTCCGCTTGGTTCCCGTTAAAAGCAAAACCTCAAAGGGGTACCCTCAAAGAAAGATACACCCAAATGTGTTCCAGAGCGCTACATGCATGATGTGCAAGCTGGATTCTTTTTGGCAACCTGAGATTGTGGCGCCCCAGGGTCTCTCACAGAGACCTCCCGAAAAATCGACCGTGTGTCTGCAAGCGCAAGACCGCGGACCCCAAAAGGGGCTCTTCTCACGGGGATGTACGCTGCATTTTTGTCAGCTGAGGTGAGCAGGTCAAAGATGCTTGGCACAGATAGCGCTGACTTCAGTTGTGGCCATGTGACTCCGCCTCTTGTGGCGCAGGTGAATAGTTTGAAGCAACTCCACGGGGGCTGTTGGGTTACAACAAGTCTACTTTGAGTCATGGCCATCCAATGGTAAGCTCAGTCTTTTCCGGGTTCCCTTGGGCAAGTGGACAACACTTCCAAAATTATCAGTTTTTGGGTAGTCCCCCACCAGTTTCTGGTGGTACTTTCCTGGTGTTTTAAAGTGAATGTTCCCAAAAAGGAGCGACCAACGACGAAGCTTGGGCCATCTGAGGATGCGCGTAAATCACCTCGCCCATGAAAGCTTGGAAGAGCCCTTGGTCGTGCCGGGCTTAGAATGCAAGGTCTTCGTGAAGTTTGGGTGGGGCTGGCTGGAAGCCAGGTTTGAGTCTGTCCATTTACCAGGATTTGATTTTGGGCCCCCTTTTTTCAGCCACATCTATGATCAGTCTGGTCGGGACATGGAAGTCTCAGTAACCTTCCAATACTGACTTCTGCACGCACGGGCATCGGCAACTTTGGCCCTGGCGCATTCAGTCTACACAAATTGCGCATACCCTTTACGAATGTGTCGGTGAAAGTATTGATCCAATCATGTGTATGCATACAATGTGTATGATGTCTTGGACCATGGCGGGCAAAAACAGCCCGAGGACACGCAGCCGCGCGAGGCGGCGCAATTGCAGGTGGGGTCGGGGGCAAGGGCGGGAGACGAGCTGTGGTCCTTGTGACTCAGTTACCAACTTTTTTGGGGGAGGGTTCCTACAGATTTGCTGGCTAGTTCAATGCCACTGTCAGGTGCACTCTTTGCAGCTCTTGCTTTGTGTAGTTAAGCTCGTCAAGGCAGAAAAAGGGTCCCCTGATTCCAACCTCGCTACTGCAAAACCGGGGCTGGGCCGGGCTTTCGGTGCATGCGGATAAGCCGATGAGCCCAGGCAAGGGATCCCCTCAAAGGTTGGAGGGTCCTTGTGAATATGTGCTTGGTGATGTGCACATCACCAGGTCAAGAGGATGTCCTTGTGAACTGCTTTCATGGTTAGCCCCTTCTTAAAACCCCATACACTATCCCATCCTTGCCCTTCTCAAGGGTTGCCAAGCAAAAACCAACCAGAGATCAGAAACCCATGCGGTGAAGGATGTCCTAGTCGCTTGTTTCGCTTCCGGGTTGGGGTACTTCTTTGGTTTGATGCATTCAGGATTTGTTCAAGCACCTCCCTGACACCTAGCTGAAGTTCGTCCAGCAATGACAGTGAAAGCAAGGGAACCCCCCCCCCACCCCCCACTTTAGGAAACCAAGCGAGGGGGGAAGTTGCCCATTCCTGCTTATGCGTCGGTGGCGTTTCCTCCCTTCGTGGGTGTTTGTCAGAAGGATGCCCTTAGTATCAACGACTTAGAATACCCTTGGTCCTTTTCTACATGGCGAACCATGGGAGTCCACTCGTTGCAAAGGGCGCCCTATTCACTCACCAGCTTTGGCCAATCTGGGGAGCGATGCCTCCCAGCCAGAAACCCATCAAACTTACCCATTTGGGTGCCAAATGGTAGCCCCCCCAGAATGCTCAAGTTTCCCCACGGCAAACTGATAACGGATGGACAAATCAAGCAGTTAAATCAGTTACCCATCCCTATTTAATCCAACTTGTATTGAACCCCACAGTGGGGTCCACTTCCCACAGGAGTGTCCTCCAAAACTGTGTTTTGTGGTTCCTAACAGTAATTTGCAAGGAGTACCCCTTAGGATTTGCCTGAATCCGGCATAGAGTTCTTGTGGCACCGCGCTGGCTATTTAGCACCTGAGCCTTTTTTGGGGGAAACGCTGTGTTTGGCTGGCCTCATTATTTTGACGGTTTCTGGTTATCACAGTCAGAAACTGGTTGGTGGCGTCCCTTCAACCTACCACTGGGGCTGACTTTGGTAATGATAACAGAACGGGGCCAGTGGCTACCTTTCTGGGTGTCTAAAATGGCTGGTGAAGAGTTTCGGACAATTTTCTGGGTTGCCCTGGTAAATTGGAAACAAAGGCATAAACCCTTGCCCTGGCAAAAAAAAAAAAACCGGGGCGATGGTTTCGGGAAGCCGAACCGGGCCGATCCGAACCCCAAGCCCCAGCTTCGCTCATCGAGGTGATGAGCCAACTCAGCGCCGCGCCGAACTCCGCGGGCACCGGGCCGTTGGAGTTTTCACCGGAAGGATCCGGTTCAAATCAATGTGTGGTGGGTGAAAGTCGGGAGAGACATATTTGGTCATATCAGAGAGGGAGATATGAATTTATATGACTGAAGACTTGGTGTTCCTTTGTGCTCCATGTTAAGGGTGTGTGATGTGACTTGGGTTGTTCGAAATCAATCTGCAGGGCCTTCTGGCAGATGAAACTGGTTTCCCTTGTTGCAGTGGTGTCTCGCTAATGATTCCGGATTGGAATCGGGGATCCTAGTCTTGAATAAGCACTTCCGTTCTAGAGGCAGGAGTCGGAACCACAGGGCACTCACAGACTGGGAAACACCAGAAAGAAATGGGTAGGATGAGTGCCGTAGGAGTCTTGCGGGGGGTCCATTCCAAGCGAATGGTGTGACCAAATAGGACCGAGGCTTTCGAAATCCCAAGGAAGTCAGCCTGTCAGTCTTGATTTGCTGACGAGCGTTGTGTGAACGTACTTTGTTCGAACGTCACCTGATTCGGAGCTCACAAGCAGGAGGTCTGTTTTCAGCAACCCCGGGGCGACAACGAAACAAGAGAAGTCTGCGACGCATTATTTTTTCCAGGCTTGCCCCACCGCAGCTTTGCAATAGACCTCAGGGGACAAACGCAGGTCCTGACACAAAGGGGGGGGGGGGTCTAAGGGGTGCTTAAGGGTCAGGGACTGCCAAAATGGTGGTTTTCCTTTTTTCCCTAAGAAACAGCCCCACTTAGGTGCAGCAAGTTGCGAGGAGGTCAGCAGTGCGAGAACCTGACATCAACTTCGTTCTTGCTCGATCGATTCGCCCAGGAAAGCTCTGGGGAAATCCTTTATTTTGCCGATGTGCGTTAGCGCCAGGCACTCAGCAAGTGCTTCTTGGGGGGCCCAACGGAGGTAGTGGTAGCCATTTTCGGCAAGGAGGTTGTTGCGCAGGAACTCTTAGCATGTGGTTTGGTTCTTCAGTTGCTTGTATGCCCTCTCGAAGTCAACTAGCGGTTATGAACCCTGCGTCAATAACCAATGTTCCTGTTATTTGTATGGCATTTTGGTGTCAAAGGTCCTCAGGTTCTGAGATCCTGGCGTACCCGTCTGCCGGCCAACAAGTTCAGCCGAACCGTTCGGCCCTAGCAGGGGTCCCTAAACCCATGTTGAATGTTTTCTTTGCATTTTGTTGAACATCACCTTCTGGACCAGGTCAAGTCAGCCTGCCTTGAAGTTGTTCAAAGGAAGGACATCTATATAATTACTTGGAATCCTGAAATCAGTACCACTCTTTTTCTTCTTTTTGTTTGGGGGAAAATGGACCTTGGGTGACCTTTGCCAGCTCTCGGCCGATCATCATTGCCGAGGTATGCCTCCGCAAACTTTGTGAACAGCGGCCCGGCTGCCGACCCTCCAACTGGTGGCTTCCTTTAAATGAGCTTCCCAAAACCCCAAGGTGCATACCTACCTGTAGGGCTGAAACCCGCCCGGCAAATGCCCAGGAAAAAACACGACCCCTTGGGCCCGACTTGTTTTGCTGAGAACGCGCAAGTTGTTCGACTGCCTTGGGCAAATGGGCGGTTTCCTGGCGGCTCCATTGAACGAGTTTTTAAAACTCGGTTTCCTGCCGCTTGAGCAGGAGAAGGAGACGATTTGGCCCCAATCGACAAGGGCCCTCTCAAGGGGCTTCACAGGCGAATCCTGAGAGGTCCGACCCTGTCAGGATGGGATTTGTTTACCGCCTCAGTAGTTACTTGGACACGGGCTGGGAACCCCCAACTACCAACTGTGTATGTTTTGTTCGGCGTTGGCCCTCCTTTTTTCAGGTATCCCTTATTTGGTGTTGCGGATTTGACCCCCTCTGTTCTTGAAGCTCAATGGGAAGGTAGCCCCCTAGCCTCTCAACCCATCCACCCCAAATAAAGGGGACACTTCTTCTTCGGGGCCTTCGGATTGAAGCCGAGCATTTCTTGAGCGTCCCTTGAGCTGCCAGGCAACCGGAACCCGATCTGAGGCGCTTTGCAGTTTTTGTGGGTCCGGATCTTCATGGAGCTCTGGCACCTGAACAAGGACTACTCGGCCCCTGGGCGAAACGAGCTCCAAAGATCTGTGCGAAATGGGACGCCAAGATTCTGGTTTTAGTTTTTCTCTTTCAACGCAAATCCCAAAAGCCAAAAGGTGCTAGAGAGGAAGCATTGACTTGTTTCATCTGCCCAGGACACGAGCAGGGAATGCGGTACAGTGGTGATTTTTCCAGACCCTCCCCCTGCTCGCTTCACTTCACGAGCTCGCCGGTCTCGGGGTAAAACGAGCAGCTTACCTGTGAAGGTTGTTGACTAGCCTCATTTTCAGCAAGGCAAGCGTAGTCCGGATGGTGCCTTTTGGGCGACCTCGCGGAAGAACTGTGTGGTTGCCCAGGTTTTCGTTTTCAGAAGATCAGTTCGGGCCATCCTCCTTTTCCGGACAAAAGGGTTTACCCTCCCACGAAATTGAATCCTGTCCTGTTCCCGGAAGACCATGTGGCGCTCTGTGGTAGGTCCCGGGTTAGTGTACCTTCCTTGTCGCGGTAATTATGTTTGGTACAAGTTGCGCATGTTTGTTGAGCACATACCCTCACTTCAGTTCGAGGTTCGGTCAACGTTTCCAGTAACAATTGAGGACCCTCAAAAGACGACGGTGGATTCCTTTCAGAAGTGAAAATGCCAAACTGGGGACCGCGTTGTGCGTTGTTGAGGGTACCCCTTTGTGGGCTTGTTCTAACAGGGGCAAAGAAACCGGGAAACCCATGTTGGGGAGCCCCTATTTGAGTTTCTTCAGGAGCAGCCTTTTTTGAGGTGCCTGCCAGAGTTGCTGGAAACGAGGCCACGGCCCTACAACGCTGCATTGTCCAAGAGAAGCCTAAATCGGATTGGTCCTTTCTATTTTTGCAGACCCTCCATTTACTCCCCAAGGGATATAAATATGGAACCACCACAAGGAGATGTCTTCATGGGTTGGGGTTGCTTCCGTGGGACCGGGGTGAGAAACTCGTGAATCCGAAGAACCCAGTTGCAACAGGGGTAGCCCATTATTTGTTGATTTGTGCATATCGGAAACCAACAAGGGCTTGATGATAAATTCAACTACGGAAAGCCAACTACGGAAACCAACTACGGAAAGCTGACAAATTCAAAGTGTCGGTCCCGGACCTGGTGCTGGTGTTCCTTCTTTTGTTGAAAGGCTGCTTTTTGATTGCATGGGTCTGTATTGAAATGGCCATGTTGGACCCCAAAGGGGGGCTGATTTCCAATAAAGCCATAACAACGGTCAGTTGACGGGTTCATACCAGGGGTTCATTCATTGACGTGTACATTCAGCCTTTGATTTTTTCAAATGGGTATGAGTCAAAATGAAACCACCAGACCGCAGGTTTTAGTCCTTGTTCCATTTGCCGGGGTTTCATGTTGGGTACCTATCTTGACCCAAGCCAAGTCAACTATATACAAAAACAAAAGCGCAACTTGGACGTCCACTCAGCTGGGGTATGGTGTATGGGAATGAACGACTTGATTTAGGGAAACACCAGTTGGATGTTTCAGGAAGTATTTCAGCTGCCCTCTTGATGGTTTGGATTGGTTTGGAGGTGTTCCGCGGGTTTACCATGTACCCTGAGTGACTCAGGGGTTCGAAATTCGATCCACCAACCACCAATCGGAGGTTGCACATTATATACCTGAATAAGAGACCCAAAACCTCCAAACCACCAAAGGGGTACCTATCAGCTTTCCGGAGGTCTCGGCTTTGAACATGTTTGCCGCGGAAATTAGGGTGACCTAATCCGGAGTCATTGTTGAGGTTCCTACAACTCCCATGTAATATTCTGGAAGATCATTCTCCTTTTAGAGGGACCCGAACGTCAGGTTCCAGGTTGGGTGGGTATGCGGGATAAGTTTGCATAGATATTTGTTGCCCAGGTCGGCAGTTTCCTGATGATCTCGGCCTTTGCCGGTGCTCTGGGGATCCTGGCGGCCAGCTGCCAGCGAGCCCTTCGTTTGCCACGGGCGGTGTGGGGAGGGGGGCTGGGTTGGTGGTGGGGGGTTGTCGGGGGTCGCTGGGTCCCGCAAAGTGGTTATCAATAATAGGGTTGAAGGATAAAAGCCGGAGCCCTGCTCGGTTTTTGGTTTGATTTCTAGTTGCAGCAGGGGTTCTAAATTGCTCTTGGGTTCTCAAATTAGTTTTGGGGACCACTTTTTGGAGGGTAATTTCGAGGATGCCACTTGGGCACCAAAAGGAGGTTGCTATTCACCATAGCGGTTTGACATTTGAGCACCATGGTTTATATAACCCAGGGGTTGTTTCAGGAGGGTTCCAGCGTTTTTCTTGACCCCTTTTGCTTCGTAGGACACAGGGTCCTTCACGCCAACAGTTGTTGGACGACACATGGGAATGCAATCCAGCTGCCAAAGTGAAGGGGAGGGTTGAAGTATGTTGAAATTCTTATGGAGTATGCTTTTGCATTTAAAGGAGACCTTTGTCGGGTTCCATACTTGAGGTAACCCTTAGTTTGCTGTTTGGATTGTTTTCGAGCTTGCTTTTGGCGAGGCGATGCTCGGGAAACACAGGGTCCCTTGTTCCTCACATGGAAGTCGAAAGGGAATGGACTATCCACCTGGATTTGGAGAATTCATGTGGGGTTAGTAGCATGAACAATTTAGGGTATGCCCTTTTTCACCACCCACTTGAATAGTGTATTTTGAGAGCCTCAGGTTTCCTTTCCTTTAAGTGAAGTGCGCATGATTTGTGGTACGTAAAATGCGGGGCATGCGTGAAACCTGGCAAGCAAGAGCACCCTTTTCCTTGCAGTCTCACAGGTTGAAGGTGAAAGATTGGCTTGCAGACGGGTGAAAGTTCACAGCACTACTGTGGATGGACGAAATCCATTTCGCACCACGCAAGAAACCCTGGACTGATGACTCCCCTGCGAATACCAATGAAGAATGGTCCCCATGGTTTCAAAGTGGTGGAGGATTTTGTCCATCCACAGTACTTCAGCGTTTGGGTTTAATCATCCCTTTCACACCCTTTGCTTACCCGAATGCAAGGAATTGTGGCATCTACTTTCACCCTGGTTTTAACTTCCTGGGGGTCCGTTCTTTGAACCGGATGCCTGACCGCATTCAGAAAGTACCCTGCTATGTGTTGCTTTCCTTGCAGGGGGGGACATGGGGCACCTGTCGGACAGGTCGCAAGGAAGCAAGGGAGTTGATTTGTTTTAAGCTGGCCCCATTCGTTTGCGAGTTGTTGACCTGTGTTGCCATGATGCCTTCAGCATGGGTTTCTCAACATGGGACCCCTTTTGGTTGGTGTCTAAAAGCAAATTAACTGTTTAAGGGATGAGTATTTTGAGAAACACCCATGCGATGCCTTCGTGTTATTGATGTATATCAATTGAGGCCATGAGGAATATCACTCAGGCAATGCTCCTTGTGGGTTATTCTTTATCGCGGGAAGTCAGCGAGACCTACCCCCCTCCATGGCAATGACAACCAAAGCAACTCTTGAAACTCCCGCGAAGGTTTGGAGGAATTCATTAATAACCCCCCGCGGCAGACGTGTCGCTGTACGAGTTGCATTCGTGGCTAAGGTAGAGCACGATTACTTGGGAAAAGTCTCGACCTTGCGGCAACTTGGCATAAGTTGTTCGACCAAATCCCGCTAGGGGGATTACCCGCCCCTGTTTTGGGGCTGGCCGAACGCGGTCGCAATAGAGAAGCAGCATATGCCATTTTCATGCCATGGTCGCCTCAGAGGATGAGGGTCCATTGGCAAAGGCCAGCTAATTACTGTTGCTGGTGCTAAGCATTTCATTCGGGGGGGGGGGAGGTGGTGCAGAAGTCCCTTCCCACAGTTACCCTACAAGAAATGAGTCGCATCACTCAGCGTCGGCCCCGCTTCAAACCCCAGTTACACAGTTTCCACTTCGTGGATTTTCCCTAATTACATGAAACTGGAATCTAACCACTTAGGGGACCGAGGTAACCAGCTCAGGTGATGCAAACTTGGACTTGTAACCCACTAAGCTGAGTGGTCATCCAAGTACAGCTGGCACAATTTTCCCGCTTTGGTTTAGGCATCCACTTGCCCACATAGAGGGCATCTTGCCAACCTCTTTCACTCCGGGGGATGGGACTAACTGGCTTATAGCCCACCATCGGCCATAGGGAGACACAAACTGGGACTTATTGCCCAGCAAATGGGGTCATCCAAGCAAGACCCACTTTCCAAACCCATAGTTGGGTGTTCAGAATATGAACAAGCAGTACGTAGGCCAAGCTCTAAGCTGGGTCCTAACCCAAGCTACCATACTCAGTGCTTCTAGTTACCACCATTCTAGGCAACCAGAAGAAACAATCATGTAAAACCATGAGGTAAACACCCAAGGGTTGCCTGCGCAATGAAACGCAAGCACTGGGCAGGGTTACGTCTTGCCCAAGGTTGAAAGAACATGTTTAGATCTTAGGTTGAGTGTTGAACGTTGGCCAAGGCTGGTTCTAACGCACTTGGATGTTCAACCCACTTTGGTTCTAACCAGGGGACTAGCCGCGGCTAGCCATAGTTCTTTAGGCAAGCCTTAGTCGGTGATTTGGCTTGATGGCTGGGATCTTGTGGGTAAATGAGGTTTGCCACCCCCCGGAACACCTCCAAACCTGGCTCCAGGTATCTCTGGCTCTTGAAGTACATGTGAATCAACCCCCTGAACCTCCAAACCACCGAGCTGGGCTCATTTGGTTTGTGGACCCCTTACTTGAAATTAGACTTGTCAACGACCCCAAGCCACCAAACACGGCTCCAAACCGCCCGTTTTGGGGGGAAACATTTGAGCAACCTCAGCGAGGTTCGTCCACCGGGCCTTCTCCGGCGCCGTGCTGGGCGCGCTGGTGGTGGGGGCGGGCATCCTGCCGCAGCTCCATCCGGCGCCGCGCAGCTCGTTGGCACCTGAGACGCCTAGAATGAACCTTTGGGATCTGATCTGAAGTGGTGTCGATGTGTTTTTGTTTTTCTGTTGAGTGTTTTGAGTTTGTGTGTTTCCTTTGAGTCAGGATTGTTCTTGTTTGGGGGGATTTCTGTGCAGGTTGTAGTTGTTGTTTTGAGTTGTGGTTTTGGGGAAGGGGAATATGTGGGAACCGTCGTTGTTGTTTTTGCTCGCCCCGGCTCAGCTGAATCTTTTTTTTAAGGCCCCGACCTCCAGCTGAAGAGTCTGTTGCTCACCTGGCTGGGCCTGGGCATGGTCTTTGTGGGGGTCACCGCGGTCCCCGGCTTGCTCCAGATCATGTGCATCGAGTCCGTGCCTCCGCGCGAGTTGGGGGGCAACCCGAGGTTTCCCTCCTCAGCCCCTTCCTTAGCGTGTGTGTGTGTGTGTGACTTTTTCTTTTGTGTGGGGACCCCCCACAGGACAAAGAAGGGGTACCCTCAAAAGCAGGACATCGATATTTTTCCCTGCCTGGTGGTAAACACTACCTTTCGTGCCCATTTGAGGTGAGTTCCCACTAGGGTAAGGCTCAGGCAAAGATAGGGAACCCTGCCGCTCGCCCAAAGATACCCCCACCTCATTTGCAAGTATTTGGAACATGGGGCGTGCCCTCCAAGAAGGGGTCCTTCCCCGTACATTAGGACAAATTAGGGAAATTACGCATTTGGCGCAAGAGTCCTCATGCATTCGGAGGGGAGGGGCTTAATCTCAAACGAAAAACGGAGCGTTCCCTTCCCAGACCCAAGGATTCAGAGCCATAGCATGGGAGTGCGGGGACTATGAGTCACTACACGGTTAGGCAACGGCAGCATTTTATGACTTGCGGGGCACCAGAGAAGTGATCTATGTATTACTTGGAGAGGCAGCGCCCACCTTGCGCTCTTCAAGGGTGCGGGATTCCCGTGACTTTACATGGATGCATAAGAGCAAAAAGGGACGTAACGGGTTGATTCTGATGGGGCCACATTTTTCCCCCCTAAGTACCTGCAAAGGAGCCATTGGAGCCGCCAAAGCGTGGGAACGAGGGCCGTGTGATACGGGGTGGGCACCCTGGGGTTCTATAACAACTTGCAAGTCCTCAGTAGGGCACCCTCCAAACAACTCAGACCCTTGCATTTGTTGGGTTTTCGTTGAACTGCGGACGTGGAACCAGAGACAACTCTAAAGAAAAAAGAAGGCATACCCCCAACCAAATCACATACCCCCTTTTTGCGGATCCCCTGAAAACAAGTCTCGTTACCCCTTATATAAGGAAAAAACCACCAGAACAAATCCCAGCAAATGGTGCCGCGTGGAATTTTGTTGGTTCTCCGGGCGCGCGTGCGCGCCCAAAGCTCGCTCCGCGGGCGCCTTTTGTCAGGTGGAGGAGCCTGAGCTCCGGAGCTTCGCCACGGGGCTGGCGCAGGGCGCCAACAACTTCCTGGGCTTCGCCATGGGCGGCTCGGGCGAAGAGCCGTGGGCGGCTCGGGTGGGTGGGGGGGGGGAAGGGTCAAACCGATCCCCCGAAAAAAAAAAAAAAAAAAAAAAAAAAAAAAAAAAAAAAAAAAAAAAAAACGACGCGGGGTGGGGGGGGGATCCTGATGTTGTTTCCAACGTCGAGAAACACGACGCGGAGAAAAATGTGTGGGGGGTCCCTGCGATTGTTTTGTTTAAGGCCAGTCAAAGGAAATCCGAACCATATTGGGGGGGGGGGTCCCCTAAAAAGGACACACACACACACATTTGGCTAGGTTGTGGTTAGGACAGCTAAAAGCTCTAAGAAATCTTCAAAATGGGTGTGTATTTTTCTGAGTGTACACGTTTTGGGTGTGTCAACAGGGAAACCGAAAAGCACAGCCGTTTTGCGTTTTGCCCTATTTTGAGACAGACCCGTTTCCCTTTTTGGAACGTCCAGAAGTGGCGATCGTTGGAAGCCACCAGTCAATTGATGACCCCTCATTCTCCCCTAAAGGTCTGTTCCAAATTAGGGCGTTGGTACCTGGTTTGGGGAACCAGGCATGAACACAGAACCAAGGAACTACAAGCGGTTAGCAGCCTGGGTTCCAACCTATGTACCACCGGGCAAACTCAACTGAGAAGACTCATGAGCAGGTTATAGCCTAGGTTGCTAACCACTTATTAACTTGGCAGAATCTGAAAGTGTGAGTTGTTTGTTAATGCACCTTCAAGTTGGACCTTTTACTGAGAAGCTGGGAGCTAAATGGGGCATATGTGTTGTTGATTCCGAAAGGGAACCAAGCAGGATGGATATTTTTGAGAATTCCGAGGGCCCAATTCCAGTTTATACGTGTGGTGGAAGTTTTAGGACCAGTGGATCCACCCTCGGTTCCTTTTGATGGGGTGGGGTTCCACTGAGAGAGAACCAGTAGGCAATGCCAAACATGCGAGCTGCGTCCACTTCAAAGTCTACGCCGGGCATCCCCTAAAGGCCAGTCCCTCTGAAGGGCCCCTGTTTTGACAAGACTTGTTACGCGATGAGGGGGTTGACAAGACATACCCTGAAGCCTGTTTTGTCATTCATTGCGTAACCAGGGCCCCTACTTTGACAACAACAATGAGGGCGCCTGTTTTGAAGAGCCCGAGGTGTTTTTTTTTGATCTCGGGTCAGGAAAATGAAAGGCCTGGCGCCGTTGGGTGATTTGCCATGGGAGTTGTCAAGAAATATCTGCTCCATGACCAAGAAAACACGAAGCCTCGGTGTTTATGGCAATAAGGATTCCACCTTCATATTTGACTTGGTTGTGTTACATTGCATTCTGGACCAGGATAAAGGACATTCGAGGTGATTGGCTGCTGCTCTCCTTGTGGGCATTGACAATCCGCCAGATTGCCCCTTTTACCCGATTGCCGGTTGACTGCTTTAAAATAAGAAAGCCCCATGTAATCAGGGAGTAAAGGGCACGCTTGACCATCGACCAAGGGCTCAAAGCCATTTGTTTCAACCAGAGGGGGTGTTTCCGAAACTAGGGGACCCTGTGGTTTTTGACGTAGGGGCTCTACAGGATCTCACTCATGACGAAGGCGCTTTTAGGGATTCCTTTGGTCGGGTTGGTGGGGGTGTTGTTGTTTGGCCTTCGGCCCTGCCTCGGGGGCAGAGGGGTCCGATCGTCGGATCATCCGAGGGCCTTTGATTCCACAGTTGGTCATGGCCCCTTGGCACGGAAAGCGTGGTCTTTTTCCGCCTTCCCGCATGCTTGACAGGGTTACCACAGGCGCAGAGAGATCTAGTTTAGTTGAGCTTGGCTCAAACTAGATGGAGTCCGCTGGTGAATCAGTTGGGTTCTGATCATGTGCCAAGTCCATGATTGTTTGAAAGAAACACCTAGGCTGCTTTAAGCAAGGTGGAGGTTTTCTCTTGGATGTATGCCAAGCTGGTCCCACAGATTTGGCAAAGGCACTCTGATACGGCTCGTATGTTGGAGGAAACTCCTTTGTTGGCCGACTTTTGAACATAGATGGATTCGCTTTGGCAACCTCCTTGTTTCCATTGCAAGGGTTTGGACATATTTTGCAACCAACCTGTCAACACAGTCATCATTGTTTCAACAGGGCACCATCCGCCCAACCAAGGAGTGATAAATTCGTGGGTGGGTTCCAGGCAATGAGACCTGAAACTATTGTTTATATATCGACCTCCTTTTGGTTTCCCTTTCAAGGAGTTGTACATTTGGGGTTGGTGGTTCGGTATACTTTGCAGCCAACCTCACCCCATAAGACTTTAAGAAGGTAGGCCTCCAAGAAAGCAAGACTTGGTGCAAATCAGGTTGGCTCTAAGATGTGCAATGACTAAGAAACGTAGAGCCCTACGCAAATAGGTTTCTCGTATTCTACACGAAAGTTTCACCTACGTATCCTCATTCTACTGGTAAATCGGTTTCTCGTAGAGCCCGCCAGTTGGTTTTTCAACACGGACTCTGGCGACTGAGCCACGTTTGAAACGGCCCACTTCGAGGGGTCCGATTCCGATTCCTTGGGGAAACAACCCAGATGTTGGAGCTGAGTCCAAACTATTGTTTAAGAATTAACATGTTTACCCTCTCCCCCCCCCCACCGCACCAACAACACTGGGATTGGTTTCCCCCCAAAACAAATGAAGAGAAAACAGAAACAAAAACAGGCAACTCAACAGGTGCACCAATTTTCGACCCAAAGGCCTCCCTTCCCCAAAGGACATCCTACAGATCCACCTGGGCTGGGGCCTTCAGAAGGCTTTGGCCTTGGCACTCTTCACTGCCTTGTTGGGCACCTGCATGGGCGCGCCTCGGATGCAAGGAACAAACCGCAAGAGAAACCTATATATAGATATCTATATATGTATATATATATATGTACATATACATACATACATATACATACATACATATATGTCAGAGAGCGTATGGGAGACAGAGAAAGTGCCTGCGCATGTCGACATTCACATGTATGAAACGATCTGTTTGTATACATATATGTCATATAATATGTACCTATCGATTTTGGTTCGTCTCAATCGTGTGAGGTATTTACGAAGACTTTTTTCGACTGCGTGCCGGCAAGCAGGGAAACAAGCGAGCGAGCAAGCTAGCAAGAATGCAACCAACACTTTAACACAACCCTAAACCCAGCGAGTACAACTGAGTCAATCAAGTCCTTGGATCCTCTAAACTGCAGCCGGCCTTTCATGTGTTTTGTGTTTTTGGTCGCCTATGCTTAGTCCAGATTTCAACTTGTTGACCTGTTGCTTCCAGAGCCTTGGCTTGCTTTGGCATCAACAGCGTGAAATGTCGATGCCTGAGCCGCTGCATGATGTTGCATGTCAACCGCCCCCGATCCACCGAAACTTGCAGCGTAGCAAAGACGCAGGCGTTTCTCGTTCGACACTTCAAGCACCCCATGTTGGTTGCCAGCCCTTTGGGTTGATAACCTGCCAGCGTGGGCTGATGTTCACCGCCCTTGAAATGTATGGACGATGTTTGGTTGCCAACACGACTTTTTTCCTGGGCCGTGTTTTTGGAGGGTGCCAAGGGGAAAGCACAAAGGAGCACCACAGGGATGGTGTCCAAAAAAGAACCTACAAATGCTCGGTTTCCTGTTGGTTCCTCAGCCAAGGCCAAAGGAAACCCGGGCCATGCCCTTTAGATTGTTTCCCGTACACACCAATTCGGTTTAAATGGACGCCGCAAGGAACACCATTTGGGTTTTGCTCAAAGTAGGGGACCCTAGAAATCTTTGCTTTCCTGTTGGTGCAACCGGGGATCGAATTTGAGCGAGTCCCATTCTGAATCCAAGGCTGTGAGCACCACCCTAGCTGTGGCGGCCATCGGGCGATGCTCCGAGTGCGACTTCGAGACCGCCGCTGGGAACGCGTTGAGAGGAAACGAAACGGTTTCTGAGACTCGCTTTCTGCCAATTGCTTATAGGGAATCCCTTTTTTGACACCCAAGTTGCCGAAAACAAGTTAAACGTTCCATCCAACCATATCTTCATTGCATGTTCTTAAGATGTGTTTTATTTTTCTGTTTAAAGGGAATCAATCATATTGGACACATTTTGTGATGTGTGTTTTTCCTTTTTTCCACAACAGCTGAAAGCTTTGGGGTCTCAGCCCACATAGGCTCCGGGGTGGTCCGGCGGGTGGTCCGGGTGGTTTAGGTTCTATGAGGTTCCACCAGGCTTCGGTTCCACCATTCACCGGCGTGGTCCGGGGTTGAAGCATATCAGGGTTCCACCAAAATTCCACCAGCTTCTGGTTTGAGGTTTGGTTCCACGAGGGTTCCACCAGTGTTCACCAGGGTTCCACCTGCGTTCACCAGGGTTCCACCAATTTTTACCAGGGTTCCATCAGTGTTCCATCAGGGACCACGATTCCACGGGTGGTTTGAGGTAGTTCCATGAGGGTTCCACCATGCAGGGTTCCACCACGGTTCCACGAATTTCTAGGTAAGGTTCCGTGAAGGTTTCACCAGGGCTGCGGGATGGTCCGGGGCGGCCCTGAGGTTCCACAGAGTTCCGCAAGGATTCCAGAAGGGTTTCGCAAGGCTCCACAAGGTTTCCAGATGTGTTCTGCAATTCCGTGGCTTGTTCTGGAAGGAAGCAGTGTGTCGTGCGCCCGCCGTCTGAAAAGCCATCGGAGCAGTAAATTGAGGGCTCCTGGGCGGCACTAAGCAAAACCGAAATCAATGGTTTTGCTCAGGCAACGCGGCCCGAAATGTTGGCTTTGTGGCAAATCAGATCACGTTGCCCCGGGACTCCACGAGGCTGCAAGGTTCCACCAAAATTTCCAGCTGCGGCTGCGGGTGGTCCGGGATGGTTTGAGGTGAGGTTCCATGAGCGTTCCACCAGAGGGTCCAAAGGGCCGGGTAATTAAGGTTCCATAATCTCTGGAAGGTAAGGTAAGGTTTCACCAGGCTGTTATTATAGAAGGTTCGATTAGGTTCTGCGAGGGATGCGGGATGGTCCGGGGCGGCCCTGAGGTTTCACAAGGTTGCACAGAGTTCCGTAAGGATTCCACAAAAATTCCAGAAATGTTCTGCAAGATTCTGTGGTTTGTGCTGGAGGGAAGCAGTGTGTCGTGCGCGCTAAGCAAAACCGAAATCAATGGTTTTGCTCAGGCAACGCGGCCCGAAATGTTGGCTTTGTGGCAAATCAGATCACGTTGCCCCGGGACTCCACGAGGCTGCAAGGTTCCACCAAAATTTCCAGCTGCGGCTGCGGGTGGTCCGGGATGGTTTGAGGTGAGGTTCCATGAGCGTTCCACCAGAGGGTCCAAAGGGCCGGGTAATTAAGGTTCCATAATCTCTGGAAGGTAAGGTAAGGTTTCACCAGGCTGTTATTATAGAAGGTTCGATTAGGTTCTGCGAGGGATGCGGGATGGTCCGGGGCGGCCCTGAGGTTTCACAAGGTTGCACAGAGTTCCGTAAGGATTCCACAAAAATTCCAGAAATGTTCTGCAAGATTCTGTGGTTTGTGCTGGAGGGAAGCAGTGTGTCGTGCGCGCTAAGCAAAACCGAAATCAATGGTTTTGCTCAGGCAACGCGGCCCGAAATGTTGGCTTTGTGGCAAATCAGGTCGTTGCTGCAGGACTCACTGTGCAGCAGAGTAAATGCCTGGTGGGCCTTGGGCTCCAAGAATTCCACGAGGCTGCGAGGGCTGTGTCCACCAGGTTCTGCAAAAGCTGTGGGGCAGCCCTGAGGCAAGGTTCCAACAAAGCTTCACGCTGAGTTCTACGAGGGTTCCACGAGGATGGTTTGCGAGGTTCACCGGGCCCAGCACCGTCGGCCCGCTGCAGCATTGCGCCCTGATCGAACCCCAACTCAGTCGGGCCCCGTCAACTCTACCAAGCTGGCATCGCCTTGCGCCGTCAGGCCCCGACGGCGGCTCGGCACTCAAATATGGCCATATGTTTCACTTTTTTTCTGGCCATGTGCATCTCGCTTATATTTGACCCTCAACTTCCCTTATTTATGACCATGGAATTCACTTACTTGTGACCAGGCGACCATGCAGGAATCCGTGACCTCACTAGAGGAGCACTAGAGGAGCACTCAAATCAGCACTAGAGGATCAACCAAGGGAGCGCTAGAGGATCACTAAAGGAGCACAAAAAGAGCGCTAGAGGATCACTAGAGGAGCACTAAATGAGCACTCGAGGAGCACTAGAGGCGTACTCACATTAGCATTTGAGGATCGCTGGAGGAGCGCTAGAACGAGCACTAGAGGATCACTAGAGGAACAGCAGACGAGCAGTAGAGGAGCACTAGGGAGCACTAGAGGATCATTATAAAAAGAGCACGAGAGCATCGCTCGAGGAGCCCTGCGTGAGCACTACAGGATGACACTCGAGGATCACTAGAGAAGCACTAGCATGAGCATTAGACAATCAGTAGAGGAGCACTAGCGGAGCACCAGAGGAGCACTGGAGGAGCGCTAGAGGATTACTAGAGGATCACTAGCCGAGAACTAGAATGAGCAATCGAGGAGCACTAGAGAATCACTAGAGGAGCACTAGACGATCACTAGGGGAGAACTAGAATGAGCAATCGAGGAGCACTAGAGGATCACCGGAGCCCCCGCAACCACGAGAGGCACCTCAAGAGCACTCAACGCGACAGAATCACTAGAAGACCACTAGAGAAGCAATTGAAGAGAAATACAGGAACATTGGAAGATTACTGGAGGAGCACAAGAGGGGCACTAGAGGATCACTAGGAAAGCACCAGAATGAGCACTAGAGGATTAGAATAAGCACTAGAGGAGCATTAGAGGATCACTCAAGGAGCACTGAATGAGAACTTGAGGATCAGAAAAGACTAGCGGTTCTCTAGAGGAGCACTAGAATGAGCACTAGAGGAGCGCTGGAGGATCACTAGTGGAGCAGAGAATGAGCACTAGAGGAGCACTAGATGAGCACTAGAGGACCACTTGAGGAGCACTAGAGGATCACCTGAGGAGCACAAAACAAGCACTAGAGGGTTATGAAAGGAGCACTAGATGAGCAGTACAGGAGCACCACAGGAGCACTGTGGGAGCACTAGATGATCACCTGAGGAGCACTAGAGCGCTAGAGGATCACTAGAGGAGAACTAAAGGAGCACTAGAGGATCACTGGACAAGCACTGAATGAGCACTGGAGGAGCACGGATCACTAGAGGAGCACCATATTGTCGCCACACCAGCAGCAGCGTGCCGCTGGAGGCTTAAGAGCGGCGCGAGATGCGCATGAGAGCAAACCCTGAAGAGGCGCCAGCTGTTCATTGCCTGATTATGTGAGGAGACCTGGACAAGTGCTCAAAATCAGCGTGGCTTTTTCAGAGGTTGCGGCCTAGTGATCCTCTAGTGCTCTTTGCATTGATTTTACAGCGCTCTGCTGCCACGCCTCTTGCTGTTCCAATGTTCATCTAGGGCTTTGCCAATTAGCAGGTCAGAGAGACACGAAAAGATGCCTTTCCGGTACACACGCACCTGCTCCTCAGCCAGCTCGGTGGCAATCTTGTTCCTTGCCCGGTTGCAGCCTGCCAGATGTGAGAAGTCTAAGCATCTTGTGCTGCGTGGGTACACTTGACACCGCGCGGCTTCTAAGCCCTTGTGCTGGTCACCATGGATCTACAAGTGTGGCACTGCAGCCAAGTCCAGGCCGGCAATGGCACTCACAGCTCGGTTCAACCCATTCATGAGGACGTAGGTCTGCTCCGCCTCCACGTTCACAAGACAGAAAGCTAGCTCGCGGAAACTTGTAGTTAGCGCCTTCGTTGACTCATGCACCAGGATGCCTGCGCGCTGTGCTTCCGTGGGATTTACGGACATCCGCACTGCATCTCTGTCCCCGGCCTGCGGTGAGAAGTGTCTGGGAGACGAAACATATGGTCAGATATGAGTGGAAACTATGGTCAGAAATGAGTCGTGTACCCCCGACAGCCCCCATCGTGGCCTTGCACTGTCGGGACTGCGCCCTCCGCCCACGGCTGATCGGGCCCCGATCCGTCGGGCCCCGATCGCGCCGTCGGGCCCCGATCAGCTTTGCTGGCGGCATCCCCACGTGGGTCCTGGAGCGTTCCGCGAGGATTCTGGGAGGGTGTGGTGCTGTTGGGGGATATCGCCTGAGCTTATTTGTTTTTCTTCTGCGATCAGGCAAATGGAGGTTTTTTTTTGAAAATGAGCCCACTTTTCCCCCAATAGCTGAAAGCTTTGGGTCTCAGCCCAGATAGGGTTCGGGGTGGGTTCCACGAGGGTTCCACCAGGGTTCCACCAAAGTTCCACCAGGTTCTGCAAGGGCGGGGTGGGTGGTTTGAGGTAAGGTTCCACGAGGGTTTCACCAGTCTACCAAGTTCTGCGAGGGCTGCGGGGTTGTCCGGGGTGGGCTAAAATAAGGTTCCACAAAGGTTCCACTTTGCACCAGGTTCTGCAAGGGCATGGTTCCATGAGGGTTCCACGCAAGGGCTGCGGATGTCCGGGTCCATGAGAGTCCCAGGGCTCCACAAGGTTCTGCAAGGGCTGCGGGATGGTCCGGGGCGGCTTCCACAGAGTGGCTCCACAAGGCTCCACAAAACATTCCATGGTTTGCCCTGAAGGGAAGCAATGTGTCATCGGAGCAGAAAAAATGAGGGCTCGGGCTCAGAAGATCGCTTTGCTCATGGGCGGAACACTAAGCAAAACCGAAATCAATGGTTTTCAGCACACTTTCACTGTTTTGTTGCAAATCAGACCACGCTGCTGCGGGACTCACTGTGCAGCAGAGTATTTGCTTGGCATTTCTGACTATTACTTGGTGGGCTTTGGGTTCCAAGGGTTCCACAAGGCTGCGAGGGCTATGGGGTAAGGTTCCAAAACGCTCCACAAGGTTTCTAATTGCCAGGTTGTGCACAAGCTTTGGGGCAGCCCTGAGGAAAGGTTCCAACAAAGTTTCACGCTAACTTGGACGAGGGTTCCACAAGGACGGTTTGCGAGGTTCACGCGCCGTCGGGGCCTGATCGGGCCGCCGTCGGGCCCCGATCGGGGCCCGGCTCAGTTGGGCCCCGTGAACTGTACTAAGCTGGCGTCGCCTAGTTTAATTGCTAGGTACTGTTGTAAGGCCACATGTTAAGGAGAACCGGCGTTGAGCTATAATACGGTTGGCTGGGGCTGGTGGGAATTGCACCGTCGGGCCCCGCTCGGGCGTTGCACCGTGGGGCCCCGATCGGGCCCCGATTGTGCCGTCGGGCCCGGCTCAGTTGGGCCCCGTCAACTGTACCAAGCTGGCATTGCCTAGTTTTGCTAGGTACAGTTGTAAGGCCACAGAGCTATAAATATGGCTGGTGGGATTGCACCGTCGGGGCCCCGCTCGGCCCCGATTGCACCGTCGGGCCCCGATCGGCCCGATTGCGCCGGCGGGCCCCGATCGGGCCCCGATTGCGCCGCTGGGCCCCGATCAGGGCGCGATTGCGCTGTCACTCTTTCCTTTGCTTTGCTATTGTTTGCTTTACAAAGTTACAAGGCGGCATCCTCAGCAAAACCGGCGGTGAGGTGGGTGCCGGGGCGGATTCTGGGAGGGTGTGGTGCTGTTGGGGATATCGCTTGAGCTTATTTTTTTCTGGGTGCCTTGGCCTTCGGCAGAGAGTCGGGGTGGGTGGCGGCACATTTGCCCGAGAGTCGCTATGTTTGGACCATGTTTCTCCACATCTCTCCATGAGAACTTGCGTGTTCCTTGAAACCGGTTCTTGAGTCGCCGTGTCGAAGCCAGGGACTCGCAAAGTTGGTGTTTGTTTGGTTTCCTGTTCCAACTTCTACGGGGTTCGTCCGTTTGGTTTGTGACGCATCACTTGCACGTGCGCAAGGAACATCCGAAAAATCGGGTTGCCTCCAGGCCGCCAGGCCAGTCTTTGGAAGCTTCAGCTGTAAGAGTCAGCTCCTGGCCATGACGCTTAAAGCCGGGTCTTAATGTTGCCTTCACCCCCGAAACCAGGGCGAAATTGGACTTGCAGCAGTTGGTACAGTGGTATAAGGGGGGAAAAACCGTATTTTGTTGGCAGTGGAAGCCAATGAAAACCATGTTAGATGTGCAGTTGTCTCAACATGAACCCCCCCCCCCGAATCAAATCAGAGGTCTCCTTTTGGCTTCCCTCCGGACACACAGGACATCATGCAAAGACACATCCATCCCATGGCTGTTCTAATCAAACGGAAGCCAGCCTTGTAAGGGGTCCCTCAACAAAGCAACACACCCAAGCGGTTTTCCTACTTCAGGCCGACCTGGGTTCCAAGGGGGAAACCTTCCGCGGCCCCGCGAAAACCGGGTCTTCTTGATTTTGCTCTTGGTTGACCAAGGGAAATGACAGGCAACATGAGGCAACTGCTTCTCCCGAATTCCTGGAAGCTCAAGGGGAGGATTTTTTTTCCGCAAGGACTGCGCCATCAGCACCATCAGCCACGTGTCCTCCGCGGAGACGGAGTCGTTTTCCAGCCAGACGGTGGACCGATCTGTGCTTTAAATCGGGGTCGTACCTGGATTTCCCCTCAAGAGGATGTCAACCTGTTGGCTTCCAAGAACTACTGCCACTTTCAGGGATGTTTTTACAAGGGTCTCTTCAAGGTGCTGAACCGAACCTCACTTTGAGCCACTTGTGGAGAAGTTCTCCAAGGGGAAATTTCGGGACCCCGATGAATCCCCGTTTGTTCAGTGGAGCCATGGGGTCTGGCTTCTTGGGCGCTTGGACAAGGCAAGACAAAGGATTCGGACTTGGACGCTGGCACACTGGCTTCTTCATGTTGGTCTCTCCATTCATGGGGCGAACTGCATATTTTGTTGTTTTGGGAAACCGAGATGTGTGGTTCCCTCTAGGAATGCTGTGTGACCATCCCAAGAAGGTGCCTGGAACCACTGGACCACGCAGCCGTTCCCGCTGTCTCTACGCGGCGCACAAACATGCCGAGATCGGAGAGACTAGGTGTCCTTGCAATGGGTGTGGCAGTTGCTCGACCAACTCTTGACTCCTGGGCTAAACGATGACCTTCATACCACTTGTGTATCCAAGTCGATTGGACCAGTGACATATGCATGGACAGTATATGTACACCAGTATTCTATCTGACTTTGCCCGGTAGAAGAGCTGATGTGCATGTTCCAAAGGAACATCGCCCTTGGCCTGCCCTTGCATGTCTTTTTATATATCAAGCGCAAAAGCAGCGGCGCAAGGCGCCCCCAGAGCTGCAGCGAAGCTTCGTTCGATACAGCTTTCTCCATTCAGGCCTAAGACAGGATCTTTCTTTGGGACACGGTGTTTTGAACACTTCTAGAACGGCGGCGCTTCAGGCCCGTCTTTATTTGCAGAGACATCTCGGCAAAGTCATTTTTAACTGTGGCAGGGTAGCAGGGAGACCTCGTTTATTAGCCAGGGGGTAATTAAGCCCCTGATCAACTTGGTGATCCCAGGTGCCCGCAAAAAGCAAACAACATGCTACCAATAAAGATTAGTAGATGACCCACGTGAAGCATGATGTAAAGCCAAGAGTTAGAACGCCAGCTGTCCAACCTTCGTGGCTATGGAAGCAGTCAGCCCCTAGGATCATCTTCTGCGTTGGATCCTTACTTGTTGTCCGTTGAAAATGCCGAGGACTTTCTCCCTTGATGGCGGCCCCCTTTTTGGGTCCAAGGGGGGATACGTGTAAGGCCATCCACAAATGTTTTTCGGTCAGCTCTAAGATGGCTTGCTGTTCTGTACAATGGGCCCTAGTAGCTAACTGTCCCAATTCAGACCTCTAGTGGGGCGCGAGCCCTTTCTTCACCCGCGTTTTGGAGGGGTTTCCCTTTACCATGTGCCCAAGAAAAGCGTGCCGATTCTTTTGCCCCGCCACTGGGGGTCGAAGGGAGGATGATGAAAAGACATATTTTCCATTTAGAATCAACCTCCAGGGTTGGAGGATGTTGGAGGGAAGCAGCTCATCCGTTCCCAAACAAGGACTGGTGGTCCCATGGAGATCTCCTGTCTGGGCCAAGTAGAACAGATGTCCGCGGACAAAAGGCAGCTGAGTGTAGGGCTACTGAAGGTGACACTGCCCCAGTTCAGCGCATCTCGCCCCGTTTCCAATGGGTTTTTGCTTGATGGGTTTCTCTCTTTTCATTTGTTCTCCGGTCAAATTCAGAGGTTGGTTCCCTTTCTCAGGGCCCTCTAAACCTGAGGTCGTGAGGTGTTCTTTTGATGGGGGCGCCACAAAGGCTCAGCTTGCGCCCCTCCCCCCCCGGCCCCACCCCGAGCTCCATGAGACGTTTGCTCTTCATTTATGCAGGCGCTGGGTGCCAAGATCTTGAGCAAGGCTGGAGGGGGCAGAGTGAGACCTATCTGACCGCAGAGCCGCGGGTCCGAAGCCACTTGCCTTTGTCTTTCTCATTCGGGATTGTTTTTTTTCCAATGAAACAACCATGCAATGTGGGCGGTGTTCAGATGAGAATCTCATTGGGCGGTTTTCAACTGATGGCATGAAGACGCCCCATCCGGAGGGGCGGGGGGGGGGGAGGCAGGCATGGTCAAACTCTGAGAGGAGCAAACATAGATTTGAGAAAACCCAGATAGGTGTATGAGGGCCTGGCGGCCCTCGCCAGGTTGAGGTTGCTTGCTCCCTTGAGTCCTGCACTTTAGCCACTTTTTGGGGTTGAACCATTTGAGTTGCAAACCAATCAAAACAGCTTGTAAACCCCCAGATCCTCCACACAGGCTTTGTTTCGGTGAATTTCCACCCCGAATAGCAGCAAACATGTTGGCGAAGGTTTGGCCAGTTGTCTGGGAATGCCGAGCGCGTGGACGCGCAGGAGACGCCTTCGCCTGAGGATAACAGGCTGGGCGAGCAATGGGCTGGCATGATTCCCAGGAGCCAAAACCTGCACCTGAGTAATGCAATGAAGGCATTCCCCAAGCAGCTGCGAGCTTCTGCTAGTTCACTCATGGCCTAAGTTTTGACTGTTGAGGTTTGTGACAGTTGTTTGCCGTTGCCACCCAAAATGTCGGTCAGCTTGGCTTCACGTCCAAGTCCAAATGGGCGTCGAAGGAGCTCGGCGCTCCGCTTTGCGCCAGGACGCATTCGGCGATCTTCATCTCAGAGGGGAGGGAAGCCAGGGCCTATGAAACTTGCCTCGTGGGGTCAAGGCTCAGAGTTGCTGTAGGGCTGCTGTCGCTGGCTGCCGCTGGCTGTTGGATGCAGTGGCACATGCATTTGGTTTACAGATATGCTTATCATGGTATCCTCGCTCTCGTGGGGAGCCCACTTTGGGGGACTCTCCCCCATTCAGCGAGACGAACGCAGTTGCGAGGCTGACCGACACCCTTTCGAGGGCATCGGTGCTCTCAGTGCCGGGGCATCTTCGAGACTGCTGCAGGACCCAGCCGCGAGCGAAAACGCATGATGAAGCTCCTTTTGTTCGCTGGACCTTTTGCGGGGCGCTCCCGTGTTTTCAGGGGAACTTGTTGTGACTTGCACAGGATGTTGTCTTTTTGCACTGGTCCGACTCCGTTATTTCCCCTTGCGGTTCTTGACAAAGTTTCCTATGGGGTGATGTTGCGGGAAAACGTAAGGAAGCCTCATTGGGGCTTTTGAAGCACTTACTTGAGCAAGCTCACAGTAAGCCATCATGGTTTGGTTGCTGAGATTTTGCTGGCCCTGGCATGCCATGCTTTCAACTGTGCTTGCCTGTGAACCCTGTGCGCATGTCTTGGCTTCTGGGCATGAAACCTGGCTGCAGTTGGGCGAAAGTAGATTGCATGATTCCATCGTTTTGGTTTAGTCAAGCCCTTTAGTTGTCCACATAAAGGAATTGCGTCATTAACAAACGGCTTCTTCAAGGGGAAACTGGAACAATTTGACGCTTTTCTGAGGCTTCATGTTTATCTGCACGAGGTGCTTCAGATGCCGATCCTGGTGCCAACGACACATAGCTTCTGACACTCCTCTTGCTTGAAGGGACTCGGAATTCAGCTCCTTTCTCCATGCGTGAAAGCTGCGCTGAGCATTTTCTGCGAATCCAGTCGGTGGTTTGTGGTTTGGCAGTGGGCCCTTTCAGTCATCCCCTCCAAGCCGGGAAAAAGAAAAAAGTCAGCCACCCACTTTCGCCCTGCAGTTTCAATCTTCAACCCCCCCCCCCCGGCCACAGAAAAACAAAAACCAAACAAAAGCGGCGCGCGTGTCTGAAAACCCCCGGTGCGCGTCTCGGTGCGTTTCCGGTTGGTTTCCGTTGGAATCGATTCGCAGGATTACCCGGAGGCCCAGCGGCGCGAGATCTTGGACTTGCTCTTCAAGCCCCAGTGCGCCATTCGCCTCGTTTCGGTGTCGTTTCTTTGTGTCTGTCGTGCGGTGGTCCGTGTGCGGCTTCTCCCGATTTGTTTTTTGGTGGGGGGGAGGGGGGAAGATGGGACTCATTGTTTGAAGGCTCTGGGATGCTCTGGGCATTCTGTTTGCAGGTGTGCCGAGAAAGTGCACCAAGCCATCCTTTGATCCACTTGTTGACGCGAACAAAGCTCAGTCACATTTCCATACTCAAAGGGTGTCTTTTGTTGCGATGCCCCTTTTTGGTATGAAAAAGGGAACCAACAGGGAACCCCACCCATGTTGGGGGCGGTTCCCCTGTTTTGAGGCAACCTGAATGTTTAAGAAGGACACATATAGGTATCCCGCAAGCTGAGGTTTGGTGAAGGCTTCCCGGCGGTGCCATTTCAATGCTTTCGCTTGCCAGGTACGGCGCTTCCTTGCAGGTGCTGAAGGTGGAGATCGGAGGAGATACCCAGCCTGCAGCCTCAGGATGCCGATGCAGACAAGGTCTCCGGCGTAATTTTTGACCCCGTATGGATCAACCCCAGGTTATTCATAGGGGTTTTCCATTTCTGGGTTTAGTGGTTGGAATCAGACCACTTTTGGAGGGGCCCCCACCCTTCTATCGAATAAGTCAAAATTAGTTAATATGGGGTCAACATGACTCAGGACATGGGGCTTTGGGGGCCTATGGCCTCCATAGCCCTCCTTTCCTTTGTGATTGTGTGGTCGAACGTGGGCCTTAAGGCCGAGGGTTGCAGCCTCTGACACATGAGGGCCAGCTCCGTGGCCATTTGCAGATCCTCACATGGTGCGACGCGTGGATGGGGAAGTAAACCAGCCCCAAGGAGGATACCGCAGGGGCTACCTGGGTACTCTGGAGCCCTTGAAGTTGGCCATTTGATCCAACCTCCCGTCACGCAAAAGAGGATGTTGGTCGTTTTAACCTTGCCTTCGAAGCGCTCGAAGCGGCTTTGCTACATCGGCAGCGAGCTTTCCTCAGGGTTGACCCCAGGCCTTCTGTTGGGCTCCTTTTCAATTTGGGAGGATGATTGTGCAGATGATGCCAAGGGTCCTTCGAGCGATTTGTTTGGTTGTGCCGCAGCATTTCGGCAGCTCCAAGGCTTGCCCCCCGATTTGCATCCCTCGCATGGCGCGCTTTTGAGAGACCAACCGGGTTCCCTGCAGATTGTTTGAAAGCAGCATCCCTGGAAAAGAAGCGGGAAGTACAGCTGGAATAGCCTGACTCCTTCAAATCGTTAACGCCCAAACTTTGTTTGGAGCAGATTACGTGTAAGGGATTTCCAACAAGTCTCACAGTTAAGCTTGTGCATTAGGGATTTTAAGGAGGGCCGGCGCCTCATAGTCTCCTGGCACCTCGCGCTTTGTGCGGAAGCCATGCGACGAATGGTGGGCGAGCCGGTGAAGCCATGCGAGGAAACTGGCTGCAACGAGGGTCAAGTCCCGGTTGGTTCCATTCGGGCGCCCAGTCACTGGGCACCCTTCCAGCAACACCGTTTGGAAGTGCATGGGCTGCCCTCGTAAAAGACAAGTAGTCTTCCAGAAGCGGTCGGTGCACTTTGGCCGGTAGAGTACAATTTCCGGGAAGACTAAAAATGCAATGGCGAGTGGGCCCCTGGAATTCCGTAAGTGGCTTCAGTCCAGTAGGTGCCGAGGCAATGGGCGGCTGCCCTCGCAGTAGGTTGAGCAAGGGGCGCTGTGGAACTGCCAAGGTGTGAAGGGGATGCCTTTTCACTGGATTTGCATTTTCCTGACGGAATGTGGATAATTTTCCTGAACTCCAATTCTTCTCACCAGCAAAGTTATGAACTCTTTGACATGTGTTTTGGGGAGCGTTACGGGCCCAAGTATTCAGAATGGGTGGCATTGCCTTATTGTTAGCACCAAATTCAGGCATGATCATAGAAAGCCGCTCGGAATTGCATTGCCTCAAGGCCACGCATTGTCTTGGACCCGGTCAGAAAGCCCCATAGCCCAAACCAGCCGCGCCCATGCTTTTTCCTGGCCAACTTTCAGCGACATGTCTTTCAGGCACATAAACTCACTGGTTGATTACTGGGTGATAGGGGGTGTCCCCTTTTAGTGGAGGTTTATCACTTAAATCCACTGGTTGATTAATGGGTGATAGGAGGTCTCCAGGAGGTTCATCACGTTTGGAGGGAACACCCCCGGTTTCTTCATCCGCGGGACATCTGTTGCCGGCTTTGGTTACCCCGAGGCGCTCCTTTGGCTGCCTGGCGGGCAGCTCTTGTGTTGCAAGGCGGCAGGCCTGAGCACTGGTTGCACGGGGCGAGCGATGCCAAAGATGTGGACCCATAGGTTTCCTTTCTGGTTGGTTTGCTAAAAAAATCGAGGGCGATTCCTGGTTTAGATGGGGTTTAAGATCCATTTGCCAGGGCCGTCTATTTTTCGAAAGGCCACCTATGTTTGGACCATTGCAGTTGGTTTGCTCTTTTTGGAAAGTGTCTTTTACGCTTGTTGCTTTTTTTTTGAAATTGCCTGGGGGCTTCCCTGCTTGTTTAAACCGTCCAAAATGAGGTTCCGCATTTTGAAAAAGAGAGGAGGAGAGAGAGAGCGACCTATCTCAGTCTCTGTGCAGCTGGGATGGCAGTCGACCTGGATACCTTTTCTTGGATGGTAACAGAGCTGGGGAGAAATCTCCTGTTTGGTGCATTTTGCCAAGGGATGTTAGGACTCTAAAACTGTTTGCCAACTAATGGGTTTTCCGAATTAAACCACTAAAAGTTAAACTTGTAGCAGGGGACCGAGTGTATGTTCGGCGGTTTTCTTCGCCTAAGGACATCTTCTCTTTGGGCCGAGCGCTGAACGCTTGGAAGCGAGCAGGGCACTGGCAACATGCTTTGGGCCACTTTGCCGCGATCGCCGCGCAGGCAGGCGGCACGGACCGGCACGGACCGGCACCGCGCCAAAGGGGACCCTGGGTGCCAGCTTGTTTGCCCCTGTTTGGTGGGTTCGATCTCAAGAATGGTTTTCTGCAGTGGACGCCCCCCCCAAAAAAAAGAGAGAAGGAAACAACAGAATCAACAAACCTATACGTTATGGAGTCAAAAGTAGCGGTTCAAGAAGGTATTTTGTTTAGCTTATTGGGGGTCTGTTGCCAGTTGTTGAGTAGCTCCACCCTCTAAATCCCTTTTTGCTTGGTGAGTTCCCCGCTAAAGAGGCTTCCCTTGTTCTTGCCCTGACTCAACTTGGGGGATCTTGGCTGAATAGACTGAAAGGGGCGATGCCTCACAAGCCATGCGGTAAACATGTCCTAGGGACATCCCTTTACTTGCTGCCGCTTCCCAGGCCCCAACCCATACATTTCAGCCCGGAGGAGAACATATGTGCGACCCGCGTCAACCACACCATTTCTTCAACACGGAAGTGCCCTGAAGTTTTCTGGCAGACTCCTTCCTTCCTCTTGAAAAGCCCTGGTGTCCACAAGCATTTTGGCTGGAAGAAGGGAGCATGACTGCCGACTGTGTTCTTCGACCGCAAGCGGGCTTGAAATGTGTGTTTTGTTCACGTGTTGTTTCTTCATGTGGCAAAACGGCCGAATGGCCGTTTGGCTCAAGTTTTGGGAACTCCCGTCAAGTTCCCCTCGGGTTCACGCGCGAACGCCATACCCTGGCATTGCTCTTCGTCAGCGCAAAAGACTTTGCGGTGCCGCGGTGCTCTGGGGGTAGGAGGTGTTCGGTGGGCCGTCGAGGTGTCCTTGGGCCTGTCCCTCAAAGCTACTCTTTTGCAACCATATCCTGACCTTCCCAAACCTGATCTTCTTCAACTGTCACTCCCACAACCTGGTCATCAGCACCTTCTCCATTGTGCGTTGGGACTGGGTTCTTTTGGTATTTCGTGGATTACGTGTACCTCTTTGATTCCCTGGGCTACTTCGTGTTCGCCCAAAACCGCAGGTTATCAGCCGTACCAGCTAGAAGCTGGGGCTGGTGATCCGGTTGCGGGACGTGACCCGCTACCTGCTCCCATCGCCTACTTGTACGAGCAATGGCGTCCCCCGGAGCTTCTCATCGTGGGCCGGGCTTCGTGGACGACGAGGCCAACGCCCTTCGCGGCAACGCCGCGCCTGCTGCTTCCGGCTTAGACAGCCGGCTGTGGCCCATTCCCCCGATGGTGGGCGCAGAGCCCAATCCCGGGGTGATCACGGACGATTGGATCCTTTCTCAGGTTGTGTTTGATGAGGATGCGGAGGCCCCTATCCCGGCGGCAGTGCTCCAGATCGAGGACGGACCCCCTCTAGAAGAGGCTGAGGTTCCTCCAAATCAGGTGCCCTCATCGATTTCGCCTACTGTTCCGTTCGTGGCGCTCCAGATCGAGGACCGGGCTGTCCATCATGCTGCTCATCCGGAGCCGGCTCAATCATGGTCCCTTACATGGGATCAGTTTGACCAACTCCTCGGCAGTGGATCGCAGGCTACACCGCCTGATTTCGGTCGGCTCGACTTTAACTCGGGTGCCCCCGTTTCGGTTGGGAATCTGGATTTTCAATCCCTTTTTGATGCTGATTGGAGGTCTCAGCCTTCCCGAATTGACAGATCCTTTGATGCCCTGCCTTCGCATGAGCCTACTCAGGGTTTTCCTCATGATGGAGAAAATGACCCCATTGAAGATTTCTCCCCTTCTCATGTTGCAGGTTCGGCCCAACCCGAGGTGGGCAAACGGGCGATTGAGGATTGGCCGCAAATAGCTGGCCCTCCTCCCATCTCAGGTTCATCCGACATTGACATCATTCACGATCACCCCAGTCCGGCGGATATGGACTTCATCCCTGATGCAGTATCATCTCACCTGTCAGGTACCCGCGACCGGAATGCGGACCGCTACAACGCTGGTCCGAATCCACCGCTTTCCTCAGGTACCCGAGGTCGGGATGCGAACCGCTACAACGCGGGCTCAAATCCGCCAAATCGGACATCAGGTACTAATCGATCGGATGTGGGCCGCGAAACAGCTGGCCCTAATCCTTCCTCCTCTTCATCAAGAAGCCATGCCGGTCTCTTCGCGGCGTTCAATCGGCGTCAGACTCGAAAAGAGTCCGCCCCCGACGTCATCGACCTCGAGGAGCAGTCCAGCCACCGTACCAGCGATGGATCCGAGCAGGATACACCTGGTATTGGCTCTACTCCATTTGACCTCCTCGACATCCCCTTCCATCAGCCACCCAGGAGAGGAAATGAAGATGATGAAACCATTCCTGGGATCCTTGATGTAATCGATGAGGCCGAGGTCACACCAGAGAGACGAACTACATCGCTCCCACCGAGCCGCGTTGCCAAAGTACTTTCTCCTAAGCCACTCAATGGTGATGTTGCTCAACGGCTTGATCTCACTCAACCTAATCCAGATCAAGCTCAACTTCGCGGATCATCATCATTTGATAATGTGTCGGGACAAACCGGCACTGACTCACGAGCCACAAAGAGGAGCTCTGAGTCACCCGAGAGACGTGAAGCTGCTCTACGACTGCGATCTAATCCCCCAGCTCATCACGATCCTATTGACGTTCCTATACACTCTGCGGGGTCTGGGCTCAGCTCCAATGCCCCGATGTCTGAGAAGGAGACTGATGACGGGATTGGCTCTACGCCTAGGAATCGGAGACCTGGTCTTAGCACTGTTGCCCCTGGATATGAAGGGCTTCCTTCGAATCAACCGGTCAACGACTCCGTTGTCCCCGCATTCTTTCAAATCGGAACTCCGGGCTGCACTCCCGACAGGGAAGAGAATAGCCGCGGAGATCATGACGCTGATAGTCGTCCTGCTCCGTCTGCTTCCACAAGTGGCGGCCATCCTGTTGCATCTGAGCTTCAACGACTGCTTCTCGCGATCCACAACGAGGTCAAGGGGTGCAAGGCCGAAATCCAGGGATGCAGAGCTGAGATTCGTTCATGTAGGGATGATATCAACGCTTGCGTCGGTGAGATCAAGAAGATCAATAACCGTGTTGACGCCTTCGAGAAGAAGGTTGAATCATCCTTCTCTGCCGTTGCCGGAACTCTCTCAAAACACGAGGCTAAGTTCCGTGATTTCCACGAGTGGGTCGCCCGAAGCGAGAAGGAGATGAATGAGCGTTTCAAGATGTATGATGAGAGATCTGACTCGATCGTCATATCCGCTGCTGAACTTCGCGAGCAGGCCGAATCACTTGAGAACGTCAAGGTCCAGCTTCTTAGGTTTTCTGAGATCGGGGCCCTTGAGGCTGAGGTTCGGAAAATCAAAGACGAAGTTGAGGCGAACTCTCGCAGTGTCATCGACATTGAGGGAACCATCTCAAGAGAAAGAACCATCCGTGGGAACGTCGAGACGTATATCCAGCATCTCGTTCCTGCGACCGACCTGAAGCAGTTCAGTGATAAGGTATCCGGAGCCCTCAATGAGAACTCACAGAAACAGGAAGAATTCAAGCTTCAATTGTCCCGCATTGCTAGATGTGTCAAGGACCTTCATGACAAAAGCTTAGGCCCCAATCCGAGGGACATGCAAGAGCAGTTTATGAAGCTTGTGCTGAGGGTCAATGAGATCAACATGCAGATCGCTGAGATAAGGGAACAACCTCCCGCTGCCTACGGATCTTCAAATGCTGGCGCTGCTTCGACCGCCGGGACGGGATCATGGGAAAAATCTGGAGACACTAATCCCTTAACCCAGGGAAGGACTCCTAGAGGTTCTCCTCCTCGTGATGCTCACACCGTCAGCTCGACGAGATCTCCTCCGCCTCCACCTCCTTCGGGGCCACCCCCACCGTCACCATCAGCCCCCATCTTCGGCAGGGATCCCTCTAGAACGAGGGCCATTGCTCGGGCTGCCGGCGCTGCCCCTGATAACCGGGCCAGGTGTGCTCATGAAGAGGCCGGGCATCCACAGCATCGGGAACCTCGCTATCCATGCCGAAATTGCGGCAAGTCAGTCTGCGAGGACTGCTTTGACCATGATTGTAACTCGTGTTTCAAATGCAGCGATCAGTTTCCTAGATGCCGCGCATGCAGAGGAAGAGGGGGGAGACACGGACTTGTGAGGTGTCTCATATGCAAGGACGAGTACTGCGATCAACACATCGCTTCGCCTGACGATGTGCGTCGTTTTGGGTCGAGTGTTCGACCTATCTGCCTCGGTTGTCTGAGAGCTGATCCCGACGGGAAAACTACGCATCGCGGCCCCAGTGCGGGGCCTGGCGGACCTGATTGCATTCCTGATCATAATCAGCGGGATGGCACTGCTCCTGATCCTGGATCCGGGCCATCACGTGGAGATCCGTCACATCGGAGTCCTGAACCGCACCAAGGAAATTCTGGTTTTGTTCCCACGCCGGAGCTGCCGGGCCAATGCCACCAAGGGCAATGTCTTCGCCCGTAGTCGGACGAGCAGTTCCGAGGGGGACCATCAACACGTACCCCGGATGTTCCCCTACAGGGGGGATTTTCACCGGTCAGGTTGAGCATGGAACGTCTCAGGGAGTCATTCGCGGGAGATACGGACCTGACGCTGCTGTGACAAATCAGCAGAATCCACAGCCTCACCACGGAGCACAGGATAACTCTGGCGGGCCAACTGGTTTTTCTCTTCCACCAGGACTCGGTAAGGGTGTGCATGGCGTTGGTGGCGTCGGTGGTATTGGAGCTCCCGATATTCGCCGATCTTCCGCTGAGGAGAGAGTCTGCCCTCGGTGCAACATAAACGTCAAGACCAGCATCCCCGGGACGCCTCCATGTTTCCAAACTTGTTCGTTGTGCCGCACTTCTCTATGCGCCGCGTGCTGCCCGCCATCGTCCGGGAGTTGCTCTCTGTGTGCCATATCCATTGGCAGAGACGGCGTTTTACCTCCCCATGTTTTTGGGCAGGCTACTCGACCTCCCTTAACTTCGTTGCCATC